TCTTTGACTAATTTAAAAGATTTTATATTTTACTTTACAAGTGTATCTTAAAGCTATTATACTTTTGCTAAGACTATTGCCAATAATTATGTTAAACATATGAAAACATTCATTTTAAATAGATAACATCAAATATATGAAATTCTTCAACAAAATAACTAGCTTTACTTGCTTTCAAATATTTCAGTCTTGTTTTAAGACGATCATTCTTTTGAATGGGGAATATACGAAATATTTATTACAAACAATTAATTTAATCGCGCATATAGGCACTAGCGGTAAATTTAAAATAACACTACGCTTTTTGTGTGTACTCTTATAATTTTTAGGAATTGTTAGCAAAAGTATGACTATAATTTGTGTTTTAAATAAGAAGCACAATACTATAGTTTTGTAAAATATAGAATTTTTGGAATTAGAATTCCCACTTATCCAAAAATTAAATTACATTCTTTGCAATATTTAATTTTTAGTAAAATTGGTTTAATTTAAATTAATAATCAATAGAACCACTTCAATCTAAATGTTAATGTTAAAATAACACTACGTTAATGTTAAAATAACACTACGCTTTTTGTGTGTACTCTTATAATTTTTAGGAATTGTTAGCAAAAGTATGACTATAATTTGTGTTTTAAATAAGAAGCACAATACTATAGTTTTGTAAAATATAGAATTTTTGGAATTAGAATTCCCACTTATCCAAAAATTAAATTACATTCTTTGCAATATTTAATTTTTAGTAAAATTGGTTTAATTTAAATTAATAATCAATAGAACCACTTCAATCTAAATGTTAATGTTAAAATAACACTACGTTAATGTTAAAATAACACTACGCTTTTTGTGTGTACTCTTATAATTTTTAGGAATTGTTAGCAAAAGTATGACTATAATTTGTGTTTTAAATAAGAAGCACAATACTATAGTTTTGTAAAATATAGAATTTTTGGAATTAGAATTCCCACTTATCCAAAAATTAAATTACATTCTTTGCAATATTTAATTTTTAGTAAAATTGGTTTAATTTAAATTAATAATCAATAGAACCACTTCAATCTAAATGTTAAAAATATTGTAATTATGTATTTGGCAAAATTAAAATCTTTATGTACCTATCTTTTATATAAAATACTTTGTATGATATAACTGTCTGATATAACTGATATAACTGTCTGTCCACTCTAAGTTGGCGGAACTAAGGAATTTTGTAGTTTAGATATTAAAGAATTGTCGTACTGTGTGCTTTTAAAACAGATTTTATATTATAAATAATACTAGTACATATTATATAATATACATATTATATATATACATATTATATAATATAATATACTAGTATTATTTATAATATAAAATCTGTTTTAAAAGCACACAGTACGACAATTCTTTAATATCTAAACAACAAAATTCCTTGGTTCAGCCAACTTAGAGTGGACAGACAGTATTAATTGATTGTCTACTTTCTTGTTCATGATTCATGGATTGAACCAGCGTCTTTTTCTTGATTCAATGAAGAATATTTAACTGCAATTAATATTTTCTATGTACTTTTGCAAAGAAGTTTGATAAATTCAAGTCCTGTCTACTTCTTCCATTAACACAAACCCAAACCTGAAATCAATATCAATTTTAAAATCAATTTAAATTGTAAAAAGATTGATATTACCTAATAATTTTTAAAATTAAATAAAAATAATTTAGCAATATTTATGCTGAAGCAAATAATTGAATGGTTTATTGTAAAAACAAGGGAAGTGACTAACTAAATATGATTATGTTTATTTTTTAATTTAAAAATCTTATAAAAACTAATGTGCTGTTTTAACATGAAAATATTCTTTTTTAATATCTTGCTAAATAATAATCTAAAGCAGAAGTGTATGTAATATAAAAATGTAAGATTGCTTGTTTTTAACAATAAACAATTTAATTATATTTGGAGTAAAAAATAAAAGTGTACTTTCTTTAATGGACAAGGCTTTTACTTTTTTTATATTTGTATTGTAACTATGGATGTGTGAATATTGAATTCAAGAATTATTTGAATAGTTTGAATGTTTCAAATTTTTAAATGGTTTAATAAGAAAATTAAAATTTTCCAATAGTAATTGAAGAAATGGAACATGGAATTGTAATTTAAAATTTATTATTAAATAAAAAGTTTGAATGTTATTTACTTGTCATTAACCCTTAATTACCTTATTTGAATAGATTATGATTGTAATTATTTAACTATTAGAATAATTCAAACTATTCATGTAGTTTGAATATTTAATTTTATGTTTGAATTAAATATTACTAGTTAATTAAATTTGGTAAAAATATTCACACACCCCTAATTGTAACTAAAAATGTATTCTAAATGAAAAAAATATCTAGGTAAGTACCTATTATTAAAAAATTTTGGAAGTCAAATATTTCTGCTTGGGATTGACGAGTAAAGCTGTCTTTCATTATTTTTCTTCATGCAGGATAAATCTTCTCTAATTGTTCCATTATGGCAAAACCTAAAATTAATGCATTAAATTAAAATCAATTATATTGTAACAAAAAATGATTGAATTTAAAACTTTAAAAATATTTCTTTAAAAGGTTTGCTTATGAATTGTCTAGTTATTTATGTACATTAAAAATGTCAGACTTTCAGATAGAACAAATAAAATAATTATGAACATACTGTAAAAGATCATCACCCTGTAGATCAAAAATTCAAAATGCTATGTTTATGTAAAAAAAACATGGAAAGCACAAAACATTTGTAATATAATCAAGTTTTGAACTGTATGCTTACAAGTGTTTTATATGACCTCCTCCAGCTGCAAACATCTAGTAAATACTTGAACGTTTTCTATCCCAACCGAAGGGTCTGAGTGGTAATTTCATCAATGGCAGTTCCAATTCGTGTCTTTAGTTTTCACAAATCTTGGGGCTCATAAACTTTATCTTTTATAAAGCCCCAGAGAAAGAAGTCGCACATTGAGAGAGCAGTTGAATGTGTTGACCATAGATGAAGTGCCAAATTGTTGAGCCCTTTACTTCCGATCCACGGATAAGGGGGCTGGACCCAGGTCCAGTTTTCGCTTAGCTGTATATGCAAGGTACCAAGTATTCTTCTATGCATGGGTATTTTTTTTATTTGAAGAGCTACAACGTCGGTTAAATTAGACAAAAGTTGCGTTAATACAAGTCTATTAAAATAGCATTTAAAAATTAGTAGGTAGGTATTGTAATCAAAATTGGAAAATAAAAATTTGATAATTAAAATGATTCACAAAATATTATAAGTAGATAACCTACAAATTTACCAAAACAAAGATAGGTATACCTTTTGTAATAATAAGAATATTATAAAAGCAACTAGGTATATAGTGTTAATTTTTAAATAAAATGTACTACTTAAATTGATTGAGCATTGAAAATTTCGAGAAAACATCGTTAAAAACTTACATGTAGGTATTAAGGTTTATTTACGTTGTTATTTTTATTCAAAAAACGTTAAAACCATTCCAATTCCATGAAAACTTGGTTTAATTAAACACTTTATAAGTTTTATTATAGAAAAATAATATTCTATTTGTTTTATTACAACTTTCATAACATTTGTTTAAGGAAAACATGGAGAAAAAAACCGAAACGGTTAATTCTACGTATTTTTTAATAAAAACGCGGTAGTGATGCTACATTTAACTTAAACATGCCTATATCCAGGTAATATAATGTTAAAGCAGGAATTAACAATTTTACTTACCTAAAACAAAGAAAATCTTGGTTAAAATATTTAACACAACACTTTCAGCCATTTGCAATTTACCACAACAAAGGAAATCATGTGGCACATAACATGTGGTCAATCCCACCAATGGTGTACATTCACCTCGGGTTTCCAAGCCAGCTTGATTAATTTTACTGTTGCCTATTGCCAAATTCCCCTTATACCCCCCTGATGTGACACTACATGTTGTTCGATACTAAAGAGACCTTAAATAGGTGGAAACAGCTGTTAATACTTAAAATAGTTTAAGTTGGTGGAACGCACTAAACACATTATCTCTAGCGAATTAAAGGATCAATTTTCTGGAATAATACCATTGGTAATATACTTGTAATGCGTCAAGGAACTTCTTGGGTCCTTTTGATTTAATTTGACCAAAAACACATTATATTTAACACTGAAAAGGAGTTCAATTTACGCCAGGTAAAATTTATTTTAATACTGTGTGAAAGTTAAATTTACACTATTTTATTATTTCAATCTACACTGGACCAACGAACCATATTTAACACCATTTTGGTTTGTATCGATATAGACCATGTATGGTGTTAATTTGGTGTTAAAATGGTCATGAAATTTTGAACAGTATATGTGTTTGAAATGTTTCTCTGCATGAGCGGATTTAAATATATAATTACATAATTATTAAGTTTATTGTTAAGGTTTTGACCAAGGTCTTGCCCGATTTGGACTAGTGTGTAGCATGACAATTGGAGATCGATGATTTTTTTTCTCGTATGCATATATACATACGACATTCACAACACAGTTTAGTAATAATAAACGATAAGATCCCGTGTAGTCTTAGCAATTTAAATAATTTTTTACTCGAAAACCAGACGGTCAAATTTTCTAAAACTTTGTAAATCTCATTTAAGTAGACCCTACTACAACTTGGAATTTTTTCAGAATTTTCTCAAAGAAGTTCGAATTATGAACTAAAGAGATTTATCACTTTGACGAATAGTAGAATGGAAGAAATAATTTTTTAAACAATAAAACAAAATAATCTGTAAGCTTTGAAATTAACAAAATGCTTAAAAAATTGCATTAAAATATTTTTCTTTGTTAAAATAATTACGATCCCTGGTTTTCTACAAAAATTAAGTACAAACTCATGTTAACAAATCTTTTATGTATATTTTTATAACAGTGAAAGAGCATAAAAGTTATGGAATAAAATAGTTAAATTCGTAAAAATATATTTAATAAAGTAAAATGTCTTTTAACTTGTTGTAATATAAAAACTGTATAAAAATACATTTACCTATTTATATCTAACTAACTTAAAAACGCACACACATTTATAATAAAATTAAAATAATACTACGTATTCATAATTCAAACAGTTTTTCAATCTGCATTTAAAAAAATACAATTATTAAGAACAATATATTATGGTATAATTTATATCTTAAAAACCCATCCCAACATTCTATTGGCTTGTTTCCTAACGTAAACAGCCACATAATCTTTGGTATCCTTGACTTCCTGGTAATCGTTCAGAATCCACTCCGGACTATCGAATCCGGGTTTGAACGGTTCCGGATCGGTGTGCCGGCCGCTGCCTTCGCCAGGTCCGATGATTATCACCATGTTGCCTTTGTAGCATTTTACGTAATCGAGAAACGCCGGCCGGTTGTTGAAGTAGCAAAACAACAAGGCGCATTTGGAGTTCAGCATCGAGGAGTCGGGAATTTCGGGGCTGAAATTTAGGGGGATGAATTGCGGGCAGGAATATTTGCTTTTCCACCATGCTTCGTTTATTTCGTAGCCCATCACTGGCAAACCTTTAAGATTATTATTATTATTATAGTCATTTTCATGTAAAAGGTTAATAGTATATTATGTATCAAGTTTGATAAACGCCATTTTATACACGAATTTAATTTAGGCACGAGCGAGCTTGCGAGCGAGTGCTTAAGTTAATGAGTGTATAGAAAAGTTTATAAACGAGGTGCATACTATACTTTTTCTAAGACAAATACTTATTATTATCTTAAAATGATTTAAATCAAAAATTTGTATAGAGCGCCATCTATGAAACAACAGGGGAAACTGTCAAATGTCACATTTTTACATTTTATAAACACAATTATAAAGGTTATAAATCGAAATGTATCTTGAAAATTGACAGTTTTTCACAGTGAAAGTAAAGGAAATGTTTTATGAGGACTTTACAGTAGAGTCCGTGCCCGAATTTAAGTTATAGTTTACTGCCGGCGAAATTAAAAGGTCAGTACAATGTTCATATAAACTTTTCAAATATTGGCGTTGAGAAACTATTTAATATTTTTGTATTTTTGTATTGAGATAATAAAATAATTTTCACATTTAGTATTATTTTACAAGAAAGGCACTTTATTTTAACGATTGTATGCATTTGACAACTGTCAACTAACTTAAAACTAACTTCAGCCCGTGACTAAAAACCTGTTGCTAACTTTAGCCCGTGACTAAAGCGCCGTAAAGCCACAACTTGTCAATGTGTATTTAAAAGGTCACTTAGTGTCGTGGAAACATGTACCTACGATAAAGGGCGTTTTAAAGGTGTGAGTAGAAAATAGTATATTATGTATCAAGTTTGATAAACGCCATTCTATACACGAATTTAATTTAGGCACGAGCGAGCTTGTGAGCGAGTGCTTAAGTTAATGAGTGTATAGAAAAGTTTATAAACGAGGTGCATACGATACGTACTATACCTTTCTACGACAAATACTTATTATTATCTTAAAATGATTTAAATCAAAAATTTGTATAGAGCGCCATATATGAAACAACAGGGGAAACTGTCAAATGTCACATTTTTACATTTTATAAACACAATTATAAAGGTTATAAATCGAAATTTATCTTGAAAATTGACAGTTTTTCACAGTAAAAGTAAAGGAAATGTTTTATGAGGACTTTACAGTAGAGTCCGTGCCCGAATTTAAGTTATAGTTTACTGCCGGCGAAATTAAAAGGTCAGTACAATGTTCTTATAAACTTTTCAAATATTGGCGTTGTGAAACTATTTAATATTTTTGTATTTTTATATTGAGATAATAAAATAATTTTCACATTTAGTATTATTTTACAAGAAAGGAACTTTATTTTAACGATTGTATGACATTTGACAACTGTCAAATAACTTAAAACTAACTTCAGCCCGTGACTAAAGCGCCATAAAGCCACAACTTGTCAATGTGTATTTAAAAGGTCACTTAGTGTCATGGACACGATAAAGGGCGTTTTAAAGGTGGGAGTAGAAAAAATACTTTAGTTGTAATTTTTTAACTTAACACAGCTAAATCGCGCACGTTATTGTGTTTCGCGTTGCAAGTAAAAACTGCAAAACTTTGGTTTAGTACCCGATTTCTATTTATTATTCCCTATGTCCCAAAACTCGGTATTAATATTATTTAAATTGTTTTGCTTTTTCATAGTGTAAATTGTAGTGTAAAGGTTAAAAAATAACAACTTTTTAATGTCATTTTATCAAAAATATTCAAAAAATAATTTTAAAAAAATAAAGAACAGTTATCTTTAAAATAAAAATCAATTAACTTTTGTGTTAGAAGCAAATTTTATTCGTATGTTTTTTTTGTTTAGGTTATGTCTCTATAGGATAGGATGTTTATTACTGTATTTGAATATCTCAATTTAATTTTGTTTGTGCAGTCATATCGACCGAAAGAGGGTTGTTTTTTTTGTTCACAGGAGTGTGGATACCATCAATATTTTTTGACAAGTATTTGTATTTCATATAAATTATAAGATAACACTAATATATTTTATCTCCACGCGGTCTATAATTTAAACTTAATTGTTGTCAACATTCGATAAAGAAATACTTTGTTATGGCCTAGGCCGATAAAAAATTTTATGAGGCAAGTAATTAGTTCGATTTTTTCTCGCTAGGGGTATTGTTTTGAAAAATTAATCCTTTTCTAAGAAATTAACGTACTAAACTGGTTTAATTTATTTATAATAAGCACTAATTTGTTTGTTTTACTGTTAATGTTTAATATTTTTCATTAAATTATTGTAAAATTAAATATGAATAATAAAACAAAAAGTGAGGTTAGGCACGGAAAACGCACGATTCTTTTTCTACGAATTAAATTATCTTTAAGTTTTAATTTGCTTTAAGTTTTCAGTGAAATTAAATGTTAAACACGGCTTAAACATTCCAAACTACCTATTTTTTAAATAAAAATCCAAACAAATTAATTGAATTCAATGTAATAGCAAAAATTCATTTCTACTTAAATCATGTAGCTAGGTATTGTCAAACTATTACTGCTTCTAAAAGCAATAATAATTATTGTACATTTAATGTAATCTAATAATAAATAAATAAATGAGTTTCTAAAAAAGTAAGTTTGGGCCGCTTTGCTTTTAATTTAAATTGACCTATATAAAGTGCTTTGAAGATAAAATGTTGTATGCCATTCGGCCAAGAAGTGCCTTTTTGTGCTTCGCTCAATTGTAGGCCTCCGCTACGCGTGAGCTTAGCACAAAAAGCCTTACTTCTTAACCTAATGACATAAATAACTATTATAGTATTACGACTGCAAGATACATAGGATAGGATGGTGCGAATGTTGGGCGGGGCTTAAATACGTCACTTGTTGAGTATTTTTAAATTTTTAACGTGCGTTTTAATTATCTGCTGCTAAAATTTTTGTTTTTGCGATGCTGTTGGATGTTGGCTTGCTCTATTTTTTTGTTTAACTTGTTGTTTTTGCGTTCGGTAAGGTTCGAATTACTTTTCAGTGTTCAAATTATTGTAATTGCGTTGTGTTAACCTGTTCTGTTTGTTTATTATTGTTTTTGTATTGCGTTAACTTGTTTTGGTTGTGTTTTCGTTTGTGTCGTGCCATTTGCATTTATTAAAATGCGGTGTGGCATATTTGGATGCTATTCGGACAACCAGTCCAAGAAAAACCCTTTAAATAAAAACATTAAATTATTATTGATTCCCGAAAAACAAACAGTGGTTAAATGCCACAAAAAGAATAGACAAGATTAACGTTAAGACCGCTTCTGTTTCCTCTAAACATTTTATGGACAGTGACTATAAGTTTAATTTAAAACACCAACTCTTAAACTATTATCCATATTATAACACTTTCTTGAATATTAAGTTTAATAAAAACGCACTGTCCAGATATTTTCTTTGATAATATTACTATTATTCGTGTATTCGCACGGCAACTACCCATCAAATGACGTCATGCGCGGCACGAACCAAAACTCGTCCACGGGAGCTGTTATGACTGAAAAATACTCATTTAAAAAAATTACAGTCTTAATTAAATTATTTAAAAAGCTGGATTTAAATTTTACAAAATTTTAATCAAAGAAATAGTGCAAGTCCATACTACTGTAATACTTTAAAAAAATGTTTTATAATAAAATGCAGAACCAGTAAAATTAATTTTCTAATAGGTTACGATTTTATCTTAATGTTTTAACATTACAACTTATATACTATTATATAATAAAAAACTATTGCCAATCCCAATAAATGACCTTAAGGAATTCTTTAAGTTATATTTGGTCGACTGGAATCCACTTTATTGTGACACTGCTGTCAATTTTTATTCCTGTCATTATTTATCATTTTAAGTTGTTTTCTTCCAATGATTATGCTGATGATTATTTATCGTCCCCTGGACTGTAAAGTTGTTCCGCGTTGTAACAAAATTAGAAAGTATTAGAACAGCAGAAAATAAACCATTTTCAATGCCTTTGATGAAAATAGTAGGAAGAGCAAGGAAAGTTGCTCGCAACCTGCAGCCCCTGCTAGAGTGGAATTATGTAGTGGTTGCTAGAGATTTTGGCCCTGGGGTACAAAACTAGTGGTTTAATTTTTACTTTAAAACATTGGCATCATAAAGTATGACATTCCTTTTTAAAAAGTTAGTAAACACAGTCGACCAAAATATTTTTAAGACAACAATGTTCTATCGTCTCCTAGCAATTTTTAAAAGCTCCTACGTTTAACCTAGGCGAGAGCTCTCGGTATTGGCTGCCGCTTTTTTGCTCTCATTTGATTACACTATTATCTAAAAAAATTATATTTAAATTTGGCATCTTCATTGCTATAAGCACGCCCCCTTTTTCTCTGGGTCTCGAGCTGGGACACCCTGTATAGTCACGTTAGTGTTTGTATTTGATCTAACTGATCATGGCAAATTACTGTGTTTTTAATTTTAAATGGAATTCAAGAACTAAATCGTCTCATTTTCTTGCTTTCCAAAGGATCCAATTCAGTACGTATATTTGTTGGTGTAGAATAAACTTTACCTAATTTAATTTATATTTAAGTTTGGTCATTTAAGAACTCCAACAAAAAATAAGAGTTGTACAAACTAAACCTTAAAATCAAACAGATTTTATTTGATTCCCCTAAAAAAACGCTGATGCATTTTAAAAAAGTAAACGCTAAAATATATCTCCGAATTCATGGCAACCTAATATTGTATATAATACATAATATAATACCCGTTTTTGTATTTTTTACCGTTGAGGAGATTTTCATCAACGCTTTTAAAGATGCATAACGCACTGTATGCAATTTATTTCTTCATTCAGATTTTCCCTGTTTATTGGGAAACCGGTAAAAACTCAACACAGGATTTTCTCTCGAAATTTCCATAGTTTTAATTTTAATAGTAATTCACATTTTTTAGTTTGGCTTTTTTTTTACAAAGTTGATATCTTATTTAGTTTTTAAATTTAATGATATCCATTAAAAACTGTCAAAATATATTCCAATTGCGATTCCAAAAATGGAAACTACATCTAGTATTTCGAAAGAAAAAAAAACGCAACATTCACCAGTTTTCCATAGAAGCAAAAGTACCTAGGTAACCAGAATCTAGTTTGGGTTACCGAACGTAAAGGGATATTATGTGAACCACAATCCATTGTGATGTGAGCAATGTTTTGTATTATCTATATGTAATTTATTGTTGACAACTATTGTCTTTTATTTTATTATTTAACTAAGGCAACAATAGCTTACTTTGTTTATTGTTTTTGAGCATAATATTATAATGTCTTAATCACACGTGAGTGTGAGAGTAAAAACTAGGCACATGTTTGGAATATAAAACATATATTATTATACCAGGTATTTATTAAAAAAAACAATGTTAATGCTATTTTTTAATTTGTCAATGCTTTTAATTTTATTTTATTAAATCAAATAAAACTAAAAAATAAAACAGATTGATTTGTGTTAAAAAATAAATTTGCTCTACTCCTATTGCCTATTGCATTATTTGGGTTTTTCGTATATAATAGTAACCATTATAAGCGCCCAGCTTAACAAACAAAAATAATAAACTTATTATTTAGTAAATAATATTCACGTTGTTGGTGAGGGTATAATAAGTTTTGTTATAAAAAAATTTACTTAATTAGACTATAAAAAGCATGGCATTACACTCGAGAAAATGCGCATTACTCACTCGGATGATTTACGTCTCTCTCCTGGCGGGTCGTTTAATAATATACTATTATATAAAACTAGCGTTGTATTAAAAAATATTAATGTTGCCAAATTACTATATTTAGTCTAAATTTGTTTGCTTTAATTTTTATACAAAATTTCATTTAAATTTAAAAGTATAAATTTTAATGATGGTTTTATGTAAAAAATTGTTAGACAGGTGTTTAAAACTAAAAATGTTAATTTTTCCATTATATTTCATTTAATTTTTACACGAAATAATGCAAATAAAACAAAAAATACACAGTATTAAAATTTAAATACAACACAGTATCATTAAAATGTAAATAATGTTTTATTGACTTTAAAATTAAAAAGGGTAAATCTTGTATCTTAAAATACCTAAAAACTGTTAATGAATATTTATTACCAAAAACTTCTAATCTAAATGGATATTTTTAAGACGTTCTAATTGGATTTATCTCTTAAAATAACACTTGTTCGTAAAATAAATTAGGCAAATTTTGTCCAAGCAATATTTCAAAAATTAATCCTTTAAAATGTGTACTTATTAATCCCGGCGCATTCGCCATTTTTTAATTTATAATAAATATTAAATTAAGATGGTTTTTCGAAACTCAAAAATATAATATATACCTGTTGCATTATGTATAAACCATTCCAACAATCCACACCCGCATCCCAGGGAGACAAAACCCTCCATTTGGAACTCCAAACATTTTTTCTTCAAAAACCTCAAATTCATCAAACTCGGCCATACCCACAGTACTTTTGAAGCTTCTAAATTATCGGAATTTTTATTGACTTTCAGCGCTTCTTCCCACCGGTTCTCGTGGTAGAACTGTAATACTGTTTGCAAAATGCTTTCGGTCATAACTGAGCACGAGCCTTAAAGCTTATAATTAAACCTATTTTAAAACTGCCAGTTTTTATTTCTGTTAAAAGTCAGGGTCGACATTACATAATGAGAAAGTGTGCGTAATTATACTTACAAAAATAACAACAGAATTTCAAATATTTGATAAAATGAGAAAATAATCGAAATCATACCCTTAAAATCATAAAAAAGTACTATATTTAAAACAATATAAGATAATATTTAATTTTTTAAAATATAAAAGATAAACACTTAAAATATAAAAATTAAAATCATAAAATATACAACATAAAAACAAATTAAAAATGTTTTAAAATAAAAAAACATTTGATTAAAAAAAAATTTCTTTTAAAAATAACTAATATCTGGGGAAATTAGACAATAAAGTAAAAAATTAAAAAACATTCTATAAATATGGAGCAATCAAAAGCAGATAACTTCATTTTTGTTGAAAAATGAGTTAGGTATGAACAGTAAATGAGGTAAGATTAATCCATTGGTGAGCCAAACCAAGTAATTGATATAGAATACCGGTCTCGAAACCTAGCAAATCAAGCAAAAGCAGATAAATCCAAATTAATACAATTTAAATTCTTGTTTCAATAAAAATAAGATAAATTCGCATTAATATTATTTTAAATTAACTTAAATAACATTAACATTTTTCAGATTAATCCTGGTCAATGGATAAAACGGTTTTTTATTTCTATTTCAAGCAAATGCAGATAAATCCTGCCAATTCAAGCAACTCTAGATAAATCCATTTTGTTTTTTACTATGACACATGATTCAGGATAACAAAAAATAAAAAATGAGTTTTGAGGTCTTATAACCCTATACTCCATAGAATACATAGGTTGTTCTTTGTGTAAATGTTGCATAACCAAAAATATTAGTGTTTCGCTGATAACTCACCACAAAAATACAAATTAAACCACCTAAAAAATGCAACTAAATATTACATATAATATATTTTATAAAATAGGTTCACCATAATTCAATAATGGTAAACTATAATATTTAGTATTTTTTGGGTGGTTTAATTTTTGTGTATCTCACTGTACAATATTGAGAAGTAAAATTAATGAACAAAATCTAATAATATATAAAGGTAATTTTAAAAATAGCAAACCTATTTTTAAAAAATATATTGTAGAAAGTCGAACGCACTTTATTTTTTAATTCATTCCAAATATAAAACTAGTGCCAAAATTTAAGTGCCAAGTATTTAAAGCGTCATTTAATTAGTACAAGTGACATTTATTTTATATATCGTCACGTGTACTACAGGGTTCGTCAGAATTAACGCATGGACTTTAAAATAATCGTATGCCAAAAGTTTTTTGTCAGATTTTTATATTTTGTCAAAAATTCTTTAAAAAATTTTATTTTATTAATTATATTTATATTTTGTTTGTATGTATACAGGGTGTTATATAATTAATGTAATATATTAAAATAGGTTCCTTAGGGTCCATAAAAAAGCACCTGAAACTTTTTTTTATAAATTCTAAAGACTAAAAATAATCCTACCAAAAAGTACGCCATTGATCGACTAGTAACTTTAGGCTTATCTGGTTGCCTGATTTAATTTATTAAGTTATGGTTGGTGACAACCAGCGTTTCCAGATTCTGTTAAAAAAGTTGCCAAATTTTGTTTAAATTTAGCTTAATTACAAAAATGACAAAACAACAATGCAAATTGTTAATTTGGGGTTTTTATTAATTGTTGTCATTGTTTATGTCATTTTTGTAACAAAATCTGGCAACTTTTAGGACAGAATCTAGTGCATTTCTTTCAAATTTTAGGTTATGTGCTCAAATTGTAAATATCTTAACTAAGGGAAGTGCTTTTGGATTTGTTTACACAAATTCAATGTTTAAAGTTTAACCTGTTAACTTGCTCTAATTTCATCTGAGTAAACAGTAAAGAAAAAAACCGATGAAAAAAAATAATGTTGTGGTCATGGAGCTTTTAAAATAGGTACTAAACTTTCTAATTATTGCTTAAGCTAATAGCTGGATGAGTAAATAAATATAGAAGGGTATTAGAGATTTCAGTGCATAAAACTTTTGTATTTATTGAGTTTTTATTTATTTTTTGCAAGAAAAATTTTTAAAACAATTTTTACAACTGGCAACGCGCAGCTACGTTGTTTGTTGGTATCTATCTACTTACAGAACAAGTGGCGTATCACAAAATATTTTTTCTTTATCTGTGGGAAAATATTGTTTTATTGTTTTATTCCGTTACACCTTATGTCAAAAGGTATTCAGTATTTTAATATATTACATTAATTACAAAACACCCTGTATTTTAAGTTTTAAAGATCATGCCCTCTTTTAGATGCATTTGAACGACGTAAGTATACTGAATCTTCAGTCTCGGTTTGTGGATCGGAAACAAGAGATGGTTTCATCAGAACAAGAATTAAAGTCATAAAATAATTACCAAATTTTGATACCAAATGTCAGTATTTTATCTCATTTCTACCAATAAACACTCCTGAAGTTACATATGTTAATTTTACTAAAATAAACTTTTTATTTATAAATAATGCTATTTTTATTACTTTGATTGAAGTAATATTTTTTTAGAATTTTCAAAACTTCGAGACTGATGCGCCACCTCAAGATATTAAAAAATTGGAATATTTTCTCGATATTTATTCATTTTACGCCTTTAGTCAACAATTAATAATATAGGAAAAATCAATTAATAAATAAAAAAAAATCACTCCACCCTAGTGTTTATTATTATTATTATTAAAAAAGTTTATTACAAAAATGTTTTTTGACAAATACTTATTTTTTTATTGCAAAAAAATATTGTTTATTTCTTCAAAAAAAAAATTTGTTTGACAAAAATATTGGTATCAAATCCACATAACAAGGTCGAGCATATTAAAAAAAAATCACGAAGTTAGGCAACCCACTGCACAGACTTTTACGGCGGCCATTTTTATGTTGTTTGCAATTCTTGTGCTTTGGGTTTGTGCTGTTTATACAGATTAAAAATCGTTTTAAACGTCTTTTCTTACAGAGGCACTTGTAAGCCTCAACTGAGGCCTTACAGTGCCAAGGTCAACCATTCCTCCATCCTTTTTTTTTAAACAAATCCTATTTAATTAACCTTAAAATTAAATAAAATAATTCCATTTTATGTATTTTTTTATTTTGGTTACACTTGATACTTAATAATTTTACAAAATTTTAACGTTTTTGCGTTTTTTCAAATAATATGGCAACTTTATGTAAACTCCCCAATTTATTAAATTTATCCGGTGAAGATTGTCTTGCTACCTTAATATCGTTAAGTTTATCACCCTGTGTAGAAGACTTATTCTTCCTAGTTCTCGAACGTTTTTTTTCCAATTTATCGTCAAACACGACTTTTTTCAAAATATTATTACCCGTACTAATGGGCCGTTTGGAAGATTCCGAATTTGTGTTTTTGTGTTGTTCTATTACTTTCATGATTTGTTTTAAAGGGCTCTTATCCGTTTTCTTTTCACTGATGCTTGTAGATTTTGACGTAGTTATTGATGCGCGTGAGACGCTTTCGGATCTGGTATGACTTAGTTTTGATTTGATTTTTTTTCTTGCTGCTCGAATCATTTTTTCCCGATCCAGGGGCCATTTTCTGCTGTAGATTCCGTACTTGTGGAAAGGAATTTTGTCCGGTTCTCCAAGCTTTCCCCTAAAAAATAATGAAGGAAATTAATGAATTAGGATATAAAAAACTATGATATTTCAGGGTGAATCTCCCCGATGGTGTATCCCGTGATATTTAATAAAAATAAATGAGTTTGACCTACACTTTTATTGTTTTGATCTTTCATAATTAAGTAGATATTACAGCTGAGGTTGCAGATTTTTAACCGCAATTAATTATTTTTTACAATGTTTTAAAAGTCTAAAACCTATCCTCCGTGACTGTTACTCTTTCTGGGTTAACCTTGATGTTTTCAAATCTCTGAGGTAGTAAAAGCATAGTAAAAATATCAGTTCACTAAGTAAATTAAACACATCCAAAGCAATCGACTTAAATATAAAATATTATTAAGAATTAAAAGAAATAATTTTTATAACCATTTATGCAGGTGTTACAAAAATTGATTCTATCCTCCGTGAATCTGTTTTTGCTTTAAATTTTATGCAATGGATGGCGCTTTAATCATTTTAAATAATCAAAAACCTCTGTTTACGAAATTATAGATGCATGTGATTCCTGAAGGTCAGTTGGAAATTATATGCAGATGAGAGTGTTGCTGTTTTATAATTTAAAAGTTTAAGTTCATTAATTTGCTATTTAAAAACCTATCCACCGCAAAGTATAGTAGATTTTTTTTATAAATATTTTATGTATGTATAATTGTATTTTTAAAAAATATTAAGGTGTCAAAGGATACAATAACTTATTTCAAATATACAAAGGAAGCTCTAATATTCAAAATGTATAATTTCTTAAAATTCTTGCATTAGTGCAGAACCACTTATGTTATGTTATTACTAGACCTGGTGGCTTCCCAAAAACCCCATTCTAGACTAACAGTGAAACAACCAAAAATAAAAAATAATCATTTTCACTTGGGGGACATCTCAATATATTCACCCTTTAATATGTAACAAGTTTGATAAACTGCATTTTAGTAACGAGCGAAGCGTGCGAGCGAGTGTTTAATAAACTATACCTTTTCTGTGACGACCATTAAAATTAAATAATTTTTAAAAATAAATATAATCTGATATATCGCACATCCAGTTCAAGAACACCATAACTCAAAAATCAACAGTTTTGAGATATTGTGGTTTTTAAATAACCTAGAATAGATTTAAAAAAACCTTCATAGCTTAAGTCCTATTTTTTAAAACTTTATTACACATACATTTATATTGAACTAAAATATCTGTGTAGTCCAAGTGCACACTCATCATATAAAAATATATGGTGCTTAAATTATTCTAATTTATCTTAATGTTGTGTGCAAGACCAATGTTATTTTATTTAAGTTGAAATTAGGTTTTATATTTTTTAATAAATATTATTTTGTGTATTTATTTGTTTAATTAAAATACCAAAAATCTGTTTTATTTACTTTAACAAAAAAAAGTCAAAATGCCATAAACCTTATTAATGCAACATAATTAGAAAATATGGGACCAATTTTTAGTGCAATACCAACATATTTTTTTAAATAATGAAATAAAATCTTTCTACAAAATATAGACGTTTACAAAATATACTGATTGGATTTACCATGTAGAGCTTGCAAAAGTGCGTTATTGCCGTCCTTACTTTCTTCAATAAATTCCTTTAACCTTTGCAAAACTTTAAACTGGATTATCTCATTTCAATGTTTTTTGAGTTACGGTGGTCTTGAACTGGGTGTGCGATATGTCAGACAACTCTAACCTCACTTTCTAGTCGCTTTATTTTAACGATTGTATGAAATTTGACAACTGAAACTAACTAATGTATATTTATGTTATAAAAATTAGAATTGTTAAAATGAGTATGTAGTTTGTTAATTTTATGTTGTAAAGTTTTAAAATATTTTTTTGTACAAAACCAGGCTTTGTAATTATTTTAACAAAGGAAAATTTTTTACCGAAAGTTTTGTAAAGCTAATGTGCAATTTTGTAAGCATTTTGTTAATTTCGAAGGTTACAGATTATTTTGTTAATGTGTAACAAATTATTTCGTTAAAAAAGTACACGTAATTTCAGGCAGTCAATCAAAACTAGGGGTGTCAATCCCGGGATCCCGTAAAAAAAACGATCCCGAAAATCCCGGGATCAAAAGTCCTAATCCCGGGATCGATCTTAGTAATAAGTTACAAAGAATAAAATATACTTTTTTAAGCGTATGACAATTTTTATATTATAATACTCATAAGAATATAATATATTTTATATATTATAGAAATACTTTTTTGTACGCTGCAGCGCGCTGTCCAAAAGTAAAATTATTATACACCGCCGAAAATAATGCATTGCATAAAATCAGCAAAAAAACTGTAAAATTACAGGTCACTGTAGAATAAATTCATGTACATAACCTATAATATAACATATTTCAAACGTCAAACCTGAAAAAAATTCAGAAACTTGATAATTTCAATGTAAGTTACAGCCCCAATTGGAACTTACCAAGGTCCGATTGATAAAAGAAATGGAATTATTTGTTAATGGGGGTAGAAGTGGGTACAATGTGCCTACGAATTCTTGAAAACCTTTCCTCCAACTAGTGTAAAGTCCGAAAGATATCGTTCGTTGGTTTGTTTGTTCCTTTATTTTAAAATGGTTTTAAAATTAACGATATATATTTTTTCGGGACTGATCCCGGGATCCCGGGATTAGTTACCTTTGGTCCCGTAAGACCCGGGATTAGAAAAAGGGCTCGGGATTGACACCCCTAATCAAAACATTTCCCACTGACAATACGCATCGACAAGTTTAACTGATTTCACACGGTGCTGTTCTGAGAGGTGATTTTTGGACTTTCTGTGAAACCTAATTTTTTTTATATTCTTGATAATTAGGTAATAACTAAAATTTTAAGAGCAAAATAAAAAAATTTGACGGTTAATTTTGTTTTAATTGGATGTTTATTAAAAATATGTATGCACACTTTCAATTCTCCAATTAAAACTTGCGATTTTATTTAAATATTATCATAACTTTTTAAATCAGATTAAAGATTAGTCAATTTCCTAAAAAAAGGTCTATACATTTTTTATATCTTTTACTGTTTTGTTGTAATACACGTTTAAAGTTTTAATTTAAGGTTAAATGTATAGTATAAATTTATTAAACAATAATTCTAAGGGTGCCACATTTTATTTAGGGCCGATTTATTCATTTTTGATTTATTTGACGAATAATTTCTTTGGATACTAGATATTGCCAAGACATGAAAGTTATCGGCCCGATAAACTTTACTAAAGATGAATAAACCGGCCCTTCGTTAAATTTCATGAATTTCTTCGTAACTTTTACTACAATTTTTTATTTTTGTTTATAAAAAACACTTTAAAAAACTAAACAAAAATTATAGAATACGTATACTGAAAATGACAATTCAAACGTCAAATAAATTTTTAATAGATCTAAGTTTCATGGCAACCTTTAAGGATATATTAATTAAGGGAACATAAATGTATACGTCAAAGGTTAGATTAAAAGTTTGAACGTTTATTGCAACAAAACAGTAAAATATATAAAAAAAATTGTAAAAACCTTTTTTTTAGTTATGCAAATATTAAATATTTAAATTAAATCGCTAGTTTTAATTGGATCCCCAGTAGCACACCAATATTGGTAAAATATTATTTTTACATATTGGCCCAATGATGGAAACGTCAGATTGTATTTTAATGGTCCTATATTTGTATTAAATATTGATCCAATATTGACATACAATATTAACCCAATATAGGTGACATTTATTTTACCACTTTAATTTGTAAATATATGACCAATATTTGTATTCAATACCGATCCAATATTTAAATTCAATATTTACCCAATATTTGTGCCATATATTTTACCATTTTAGTTTGCAAATATAGGACCTATATTTTTATTTAATAATGATCCAATATTTACCCAATATAGGTGATATATATTTTACCATTTCAGTTTGTAAATAAAGTAAATTTTTTACGTTAAATTATAAAGTTTGATGTATATACATGTGTATATATATATATATATATAAATTTGGGAATAGAAAAAATAGATATTTATAATTCAATTTTAAATAACGAAAATATATTTTATTGGTCTATGTATTACATAAAACATTAAAACACATACATAAACCATGATGTTACAAACTATCATAAAACATATTAATATGTATCTGTAGATAATATCTGTTTTTGTGTCCACCCCCTCTATCTGACGCCCCGCCAAATACAGGGATATGGAATTGATTAGTTCTGAAGTTGGGAAGCGTTTACGGATAGCTTCTATAAAGAAAAATAAATAATAATTTACTTTGCAAAAATTAAAAAAAACTTACTTATTACAGCCAAATGACAAGATAATTTTCGAAAGGATAGCTTTCCTTTTTTTTCAGTCCCTAAATACAGCCACTTCCATTGATAAAAGTTTATTCATTATTAGAAAAACTGCCTTGTGGGCAGTGTCCCCACCACAAAGGTACAATCGGTGACCCTATAATAAACAACGTGATAATTTGTATCGAACTTTTAACATAATTCTTACCGGCATTTCAGCATTTTTTTCTTCCATCAAGTGCAGTTTCTGGATATTCATGGTTATAATATTTATATAATATATTAAATTGTATAGGTACTTACATTTACTTTGCACAGGATACAAATTTTGTTAATTTGCAATCGATAAATAGGTATAGATATCACGAAGAATAGTATATTAAAGTACAAGTTGCAGAAGGCCACATATTCTCGCACGAATTCGAAATTTGGCCTCGAGCGACGAAGGAGCGAGTGGACGAACGAATGAGTGCGAGAATAGCCTTCTGCAACGTGTGATTTATACTATTTTCTCGATTTTAACTTTTATTTAGGTTTTTTTAAATGTTTTGTGGTCGTTGTTAGTTGGGGGATTTTTCTCGCAAAATGTCAGTTGGCAACACAAAATGACAGTTGCATGGACAGGTAGATTTATTTTTATTTACTATTTATTAATAATTATTATAATCTGTCTGTATTTGTCAACTGGATAATAAGGTTTTGTGTAAGTATTGTATTATTTTTTAATGTTTTCTGATATTTTTGAACAATTGTGTTTACTTTTAGCAGTAAAAAATGTCACAGGAGGTTTTACAAGCAACACTGAACATTACAATAAAAGTTTATAACAATTATTGTGCTAGTGATTAATTTATAGTAGTTTTGTGTTTTGTGTACTGTGGGTATATAATATTTCCAATAAAATATAGTTTGATTGACCTGTCTGGCTCATTTATTTGTCAATAGTTGTTATCCTGCACAAGTACCACTGAACTGCACTTTTTCACATTAAACTTAATTAATTTTGCATTAAAATGCATTGTTGGAGCAAACTTAATATAACAAAACAATAATAAAGGCTTCATTTTCAATAAAAGTGTAGTTCAGGTTGCACTAGTGCAGGATAACAAACAAAGCTATTATAAATAATCCTAAAAGTAATGAATTTGAGGTTATTAAACAGTTTGACATTTTGGGGGTACCAATACTTAAAAACTAAATGTTACCAAAAATCGTTTAAGAATGAGCTTCATTCTTCAACGATTTTGCGTGCGAGAATATGACATTCTTAAATAAAAATCGAGAAAAACTTTTACACGTGTTTCAAACAACCGGATGGAAGTGTCAAAGACGGTGTTTGACACTTCCACCCGGTTGTTGGTATGCGTGAATTCGCGGCGAGCGCGCGCAGCATGTGTTGGCTTTGTACAAGTGTTGTCAGTACTACAGAATTTTCCCTACACAATATATACCCAATATAGGTCCAATATTAGAAAATAGGATATTATATATAATGCCGTTTAATTGTTAAAAAGAGAATCTATGTTTTTAGTTTGAACTTGGTAAGATTTTACTCCATAATTGAATGAAATATAAGCACATATAGAAAGCTTTTTTCTCAGTAACATGTTTCATAAAAATTGGCCCAATATTGGGTTAATATTAAAATCAAATGAATGCGAAGGTGGTAATGCCAATAAATTACCAATATTGGCTAAAGATTGCCAATATTGGGCCAATAAACAATATTTTACCAATGTAGTTAATATATTGGCCCAATATTTTGTGCTACTGGGGATGACATTGATATATTGGAAAATCATTTTACGATAATGTAGGGGTAATATTAGATTAACCTTGGGCAACCATTTTCAATGATATATTGGATAATCATTTTACGCCAATATGGGGCCAACATAGCACACACATCGACTATGATATATTGGATAATCATGTTACGCCAATATAGGGCCAACCTTGAATAAATATTTTTAATGATATATTGGCGTAAAATGATATGCCAATATAGGACCAACCTTGGATAAATATTTTTAATGATATATTGGCTTAAAATGATATGCCAATATTGGACCGATCTTGGATAAATATGTTTAATGATATATTGGCGTAAAATGATATGCCAATATAGGACCAACCTTGGATAAATATTTTTAATCATATATTGGCTTAAAATGATATGCCAATATTGGACCGATCTTGGATAAATATGTTTAATGATATATTGGCGTAAAATAATATGCCAATAAAGGACCAAGATTGGATAAACATTGGCAAGATATATTAAATAACCATTTTATGCCAATATAGGGCCAACATCGGCTAAATAAATCCAATATTGGTCCCAGATAAAATATTGGGCATATATGCGCCCCATATAGGACCAATATTTTGTGCTACTGGGGATAATTGAAAGAGTGCATAATATTTTTAATAAACAGCCAATTAAAACAATTCAAACCGTCAAATTTTTTTTATTTTGCTCTTAAAATTTTAGTTATGACCTAATTAACAAGAATATTAAAAAATTAGGTTTCACATAAAGTCCAAAAATCACCTCTCAGAACAGCACCGTGTTCAGCGTCTGCAACTTATGTTTCTGTTTATTTTATTCTAATTCGTAACGTGTTCGTAACAACTGTCCAATAAACATTTTTTATCAAAATTCTTTTCATTTAAGTTCCCAATTTCCAACAAATAAGGTTTGTAAAAATACAGTTCCTTTTAAAAATTACAAGAATTATGGATGAATTATTGACAAAGGATTTTGTTATTAAATATACAAAATCTTTGTTATAATTCCAAACTACTTATTCAATTACAGATGGTTGTACAATTTACATAAAGTTATGTGGACCTGGATTAACATAAAATCTGGTTATTATTTGGTTAAAATTAACAAATATTTTTTACTGTCATAGAAACATCTACGAACATATCTTTTTCAAAGTACAAATTTAACAAATTATAGTAAAAAAACTAAATCTTCTTTTTTAATAACACTAAATCACATAATTTATTCTTACAGAATATTACCTGTATTCGGCCCCCAAGCTCCACATCATACCCTGGATCTTCTCCAACCAATTCTGCTGATACCCGATCACCGAACCAGGTCTGCAAATCCTCATCCAAGCTATGGCCTCTCTGGCAGTCATGTGATAATGTTTCAACAGGTAGGCGCCTATCAGAGAACCTGTTCTACCCAGACCTGCCTACAAAACTAAGTTGTATAAGAAAATTTACATGGGGTTATGGGTGATAATAACTTTGCAGTGCACTCCTATTGCAGCAGGAGCAGTTTCGGATATTTCCAGGAATCTGAACAGAATTTCTCTTGGTGGCGTGCTTCCATCCGGAAATATTAGATCGTAATGTTCTATTCCCACTGTTTTAAAACTAAAAAATGCAATTAATTTGGCTTTGGTGGTGCGTAGATAAGTAAAATCATATAAAAAAGAAGTTAAATATAGGTGACTACTGCCCAGGAGAGTCAAAGTATTCCTAGCAGATAATAATCTTCGCTTTGAAAAAAAATTATATAAAAAAAATTAAAATTTTATGTGAACACGTGATTGTTAACAATTGTCCAATCATTGTTACCCCCTTATTTTTTAAAATTTCAAAAATTTTTAATCTGCTTAGCGTTACTTTTTTACTTCAAAAATGTCCATTTGGCAAGTACTTTTTCTGCCATTGAGGCATTTGGCATAACTTCATCGAAGTGAAGTTCTTTTACTTTAGAATCTGATATTATTTTTGGCATAGTTATCTTTTTATATGGATATTATATAAGTAAATTATAAACTTCATCAAATTTTATGAGCCAAAGGCATTTTTCATCCGTTTTCCGATGCAATTATAGCAAAAGTATAAATTAATCTTGACTTTTAAAAAAATTCTAAAGTCTGATTTAATTTATAAATTAAATTGGTAACGGAATTAAATTATTTAAATTAATTTATGGTATAAGTAACAATAATTACTAATAGTGTATTCAAATCCAAGCCGAACTAAACAAAAACGCCTAGACGCTTGATAACTGGTTCTTATTGGTCGATTCGGAATCTGTTGTAAATTATTATTAAAGGTCCCAGGGGAGGCCGCATGTGAAATTTATGCGAAATTTTCAGTAAATTGCGAAACTTTCAATGAAACTTCTGAAAGTTTCACAGGCAATGTTAAAATTTTCGAAAAACTTTCAAAGTTGAAATTTTCATTTGAAAATTTCAACTGTCCCAACCCTAATTTGAATACACTAATTTAATTAATTCAGTTACCAATTTAATTTGTAAACTAAATCAGACTTTAAAAAAAGTCATGGTTAATTTAAACTTTTACTTTTGCTATAATTGCATCGGAAAACGGATAAAAAATGCCTTTGGCTCATAAAATTTTGATGCACTTCATGAAGTTTCTTCAATTTTCGTAAAATTTAAGTAAAATATATAAAAATAATAAATATATATAAATATAAAATAACGAAAGTGGCACAATCGCATTAGCTTACCAAAAAGTGCTATATCTCTCTTAGTTTTAGTAATTTTAAAAATATTTTAAAAGGAAATGTCAATAAATTTGTGGTAAACATAGGTATTTATTTATTGGTGGCCAGGGGCCCACAGAGGGTTAATTTAATATTAATTAATATATTACACTTAAAGTGATTGAAATTTATTAAGTTTCAATAAATTTCATAAATTTCATAAAATTTCAGAAATTTAGGAAATTTTAATAAACTACATAAATGTCATGAAAATTTCAAATGAAATTTCATGTACAAGCAAAAAGTGAAATTTTCCCAACCCTAGTAATAACAATTCAGACATTCTTACGCATTCGAATCGTAAAACTTGTTGTTCAGCCTGATGACGGTCTTGACGTCGTTCTGCAAGAAATACTTGACGTAGAATTCCGGCGGACGTCCGTTCAAAAACTCGTTCTCGGTAGGACCGATGAAGGCCAAAAACTTCCTCGGCACCAGCCAATTGAGATCGCCGTACTGCAGCGTGTTGCGCATGTCGTACTCGACCATGTTGAAGTCGACGAAGTTGAAGAAGTTGAAGCTCAGCGCCTTGTAGATGGCGTGCAGGCAGTCGACGATGCGCAAGCGGTAGCCGCTCGGGCACTGGGACGCGTCTACAAAGTTCCTACAAACTGTCATTATTATTTAACTACGCTTTGGTTAAAATCAATGATAAAACTATATTTATTTAAAAACTAGCCTATGCTCCATTAGGTATCCCAAGCAGCATTTTAAGTAAAAGCGTAGAGCTTTGAGGCAATATTACTTAATTTAAGTAAATATTTTGTTAAATTAACCTTAAAAATTTACTTTAAAGTAAAACTTTTTTTAAAGTTATAATATAAGTTTTATTTATGTTATTTTTACCTATTTTAATAACCCTTAAGTTTCAACACTTTAAAGTATTATGAGGGACGTAATTTTTACGAAAGAAAATTACTTATAAGTGTATTTCACCTAAAGGAAAATTTAACGGTAATTTTAAAGTCAGAATTTTTACTTAATGGTAAATTTTACTCATAAGTCATAATTTTACGATATTAAGACCTTATAACCGTAAATAATTCCTATTCGCCTGGTATTTTTTAGGGTTATTAGTGGGTAATAAATACTAATAATATTGACTAAACAAGGAAAAATAAGCTTAAAGTGAAAAATAAAACTTTGAGGGAATTTTTTTTAGGCCGCCATAAGTTTTTTAAGATGGCATCCATTACTTATCTAAACATTTATATAATATTTTTTCATGAATATCTTTCTAAAATATAATAAGAAAAGTTTTAGTTATTAAAAAATGATTAAAACTAAATGATTTTTAAAAGATTTTATAAAATTTTGTAGGTTTTAAGTTTTGTTGAATTTTTACCCAAGCAATAATTTTTCTTAAAACCGTAAAATATTTAGAGGGCATATAATTTTATGAGGTATCGTACCTATTTTTATCAATAAAATAATGTGCGTTTGAGTTTTAATGCAAAATATCAATGGTTTTGACAATTTAAGTTATATTTTTTAATTTTACTCTAGGGTGGCCTTTATTACTTTGTAATTACTTAAGTTCCTACCATTTTGTAAAATATAAATTAAAAGAACAAAGAAATTACGAATATCAATGTTTAAGAAAGAGAGAGCAAACAGTTAGTAATTATAGCGTTATTTTTACGTAAATTTGTTGTATTTATATTGTTTTTATTACGTAATTCTCTTAGTAGATCAAAAAGGTTATTATGTGGGTAAAATAACGAAATAAAACATTCCCCAAATTTGGTAATTTTTCGTATCTATACCGTTATAAAACCGTTTTGGTTAACCGTAAAAAATACTTTAAAGTTTACAGTAGTAAATTTGTAGTTATTTAAACCTAAAATGCTGCTTGGGATTATTATTATTATTAGAGAGCACTTGCAGATCCGAAATAAGGCAAAAGGGGGCCTTAAGGTTCTGTATTAAAAGAAAAATGTTATGTTTAGTATTTAAAATAACAATGGGTCTTTATTCAATAATTGGAAAAGAAAAATACCAAAGATTAGTGTTAAGTAAGTTTACCGTTTATCATTTTTATAAAAAGCGCTAAACATCAAAATTTCGAAAAAAATCGTTTTAAATTTTGAAAACATGTATAAATAAAAAAATATTGTTTATTACAATTTATCAAAAACAATAAATTAAATTGGTACTACCAATTTGGTTACCTGGATAAGTAAGTATTTTTCATGAAGTAAAAATAAATATCAACATTGTTAATTATATAATTCATGCATTTTTATAGCTTAACTTTAATAATTACACAAACAACATAGGTATCTTAGAAATATTTTTTTTAATTTGTAAATAGGAGTTCTTTTTATATCTTGGAAATATTTTTTTTAAATTTGTAAATAGGAGTTCTTTGTATTTTTACATGGTTTGTTACGTTTTTTACCGTATAATACCTTTTGCAGTACTAAAATAAATGTATTGCTGTTTTTTTATCAAGGGGTCCTAAAATAAAGTAACCATCCCAATAAACATTTTTGACGTAAGTTCACCATTAACATTGCCCGTTATTATTTTAATTAACATAACAATTATTGATACTTAAAAATATTAAAAATAACTGCATAATATGATTATTAAGAAAATATGTCCTTTGATTTTTTTATTTCTATACTTGCAAAATATTATCACAAAGTATTGTATTAAGAAAATAAAATAATTATTACATTTTTTACAATAAAGGAACTTTATTTTAACGAATTTGACATTTGACAACAACTAACTTAAAACTAACTTCAGCCTGTGACTAAAAACCTGTTGCTAACGTCAGTCCAGTGGCGGCTGGTGGATTTTGGGTATACCCATATCTCACTTATTAGATATGGGACCCACACCAAATTTATATGAGTTTATAATGACATTAAATAAAGAAGTTCTGCGTAAGCAGAATTTAAATTGAAGTTTGCGAAAAAAAGATAACTTTTTGCTCGGATGTACCGGCCCCATGGCGCCCCCAATAAATATAATATAAATTTAATTGGTGCAATTTATTATTTACCATAGTTTATCGAAAAATTTTTATTTAAAAAGATTTTATATCATTTTAAATTTTTATTATTTCATTGAAAAGAAATGAAGCGTCTATTTGCAATACCGGCTGCATCCATTTTAAGATAATTTACAAAATCGACAAGAATATTGCCACTCTTAAAACAGAAGGATTTTTTCTTTTTTAATTATTTTGATATAGTACCTTTGATGAGATATTACTTTGAGCAAAAATCTAGAAATCCTATACTAATAGTTAAGATCTTGAAGTATGGATGCGGCCGATTTTGTAGTAAAAATATGGATCTGGCCGATTTTGAAAAAAAATAAATTAGCTTATTTATTCATTTTTATTGTATATTATAGGAATAATGTAAAAAAATACCAAAGTAAATGTGGTTAGTAACTAACATTCTTTAGTAATTAAATTTAAATGAGTTTAGAAAAAACAATGGTGCGTTCTGAAATCATTACCTACTCCAAAAAGAATAAGAGGATAAATCGAAGTATCGATAGCACAAAAACTATCATATCGAAAATATCGATATTCGAATTTTTGACTATCGCACATCTCTAGCTAATACACCTCAATGTGAAACTGTCACTGTTGTGTAAATATGGTGACTGCTATTCTTTGCAGATGTTAAAATTTGGAAGTAGCCGCTATTGAAACAAACTCTACAATGGATGTGGCCTCTTTTGCAAAATATTCCAAAATTTAAATGTACTTTTTAGCGGGATCTAACCGCTTTTAAAATAAATTGAGTTTATCACGTGATAAAGCACATCTTATAATATAGTTTTCTACTGTTAGATTAATTTTGATAAAATATGGATGTAGCCAGTAGACCCAGTAGACCCCTCAAATAATAAAACTTTAAAATGGTATAAAATCCGTATATTTTGGATTTTTTAAATGAAATTTGAAATTTGTCGATAAACAACGGTAAATAATAAATTGCACCAATTAATTTTATATTATATATATTGGGGGCCATGGGGCCGGTTCGGCCAAACAAAAAGTTATCTTTTTTTCACAAACTTTAAGTTAAATTCTGCTTGCGCAGAACTTGTTTATTTAATGTCATTATATTATATCTGTTACGGCTAATGTGCAAACTTGGATAGTTTATAAACTAGCTGGATAGTTTATAAACTAGCCAAACTGTCAGCTATTTTAATTGAAAATGTTTTTTCAACTAAATTGGCGGCTAGTTTACAAAATAACCAAGGATCTTGGCTAATTTACTTGAAATTATTAGGGAAACTAAAATAGCTGGATAGTTTGTATACTATCCAATTCAATTTGGCTAATATGAAAACCAAAATTTCTAGTAACACAAAATAGCCAAGCTTTAGCTAGTTTGTAAACTAACCAACTAATTCTCTGGCTATTGCCCATTTTAGTTGGGCTTTTTGCTCAATGGGGCGGGATCGGTTGGGTTGTGTTGTTGAGTTTGGGTTGGTTTGGGTTTTTTTCTCTCATTTTTGACCAATGGGGCGGGGGGGGGGCCAATGGGGCGGGGTCGGTAGGGTTGTGTTGTTGAGTTTTGTAACAAGGAAGCGTTAAAATTTTGCCTATGATTCATTTTAAAAACGTTAAAATGCACAAAACAAATCCGGTTAAGCCGGCAAAACGAAAAACAATGCTGTAACCTCACTTTTTTAATAAATTAGCCAGAGAATTGGTTGGTTAGTTTACAAACTAGCTAAAGCTTAGCTATTTTGTGTTACTAGAAATTTTGGTTTTCATATTAGCCAAATTGAATTGGATAGTATACAAACTATCCAGCTATTTTACTTTCCCTAATAATTTCAAGTAAATTAGCCAAGATCCTTGGTTATTTTGTAAACTAGCCGCTAATTTAGTTGAAAATACATTTTCAATTAAAATAGCTGACAGTTTGGCTAGTTTATAAACTATCCAGCTAGTTTATAAACTATCCAAGTTTGCACATTAGCCATAACATATCTAATACTTGAGATATCGGTATACCAAAATCCACCAGCCGCCACTGCGTCAGTCCGTGACTAAAGCGCAATAAAGCCACAGCTTGTCAATGTGTATTTAAAAGGTCACTTGTATCATGAAAACATGTACGATAATGGGTGTTTTATAGGTGGGAGTAGAAACAACAAATTAAAGCGAGTGTCTCTCCTTGGGCCTATAAATCGATTTCTGAACTTAATATTCATGCTTTTGAATGATGTACTAAATAGTTGAAGAATAAAACTTACATGAAGAACCACTTTTTACCTTGTTGCTCTATTTCACTAATAACTCGCTAAATATTATCTTAAGCGCTAAAGATTAGCTTACGAGTCCACCCTTTAATCCCGGCCTTCTTTTGGAATTTCAGGATTGTGTTTCTTCTCCAGATCCCTACTACTCCCCAGTAGCTCCATTTGAGTCTATTCATAATGATATTTTTTTTAAGTTATTTATTTATGTAAACAGTTCTAAATAAAAACACTTTTATAATATATCCCTAAATATTTATTTATATTTTAACAAGGTTCACTGGATATAATCACCCGCTCATTTAACTTTTGCAAAGATCTGCAATTTTCCAAAATGGGCTCTCCCTCTTTATCCCTTATACAAGAAAACATCTTTAATTGTAACCCGCAAATATGAATGGGTTTTTGAAAAACCACCCATGTAACCCCTTCGGAACAAGGCGGACTAGGTATGGAACCAGTGTAAGTGAAATACATGTCAGTATCTGGTGGAAGAAAATCGGCCAAACGAATTTTTCGGTTCAACATAGCAGGCTTCTTAATTTCCTTCATTACTTGCGGTATTTGTCGCGCGATTGTGCCAAATATGTTGCTATGTCTGTGATTTTTAGTGTCCGCGAATATTTCCAATACAACCACAGCGTTATTTTTCAGAGCATCCTCCATTTTGGGGTATTTTTTCGACTGGTGCACCAGTTGCACGCCTAACGGGTAGCTTTGGCCGTTTATCTCGTGTTCTGCCGGCCATTTAAAAAATATTTTGTACAGCTCGTATTGCTCGTCCTCGAAACACCCTCCGGACACCAAGATTTGATCTTCGTTGCAGTCGCAACACACCATCGTGAGATTCTGCCCGTTGTTCGCTATCAAAGCGTTGAACTTCTTGCGGTAGTTTTTGAAACGGAACGGCGGAAAGCGTTCGCGTTTCACCTCGCTCGTTTGTATGTCGATTGGCGATTGGTTTTTCGCTTCTGTGCAACACTCTGGCCACGAGTCCGGGTCGTTGAACACGAACTCCCTGGGTTTCTTCTTTTCGGGCTGGGCTGCTTCGACATTCGGTTCTTCAGCCATTTTATATAGAGATACGTTAAAAATGTTAGGATACAAATTTTATTGAAAAAAAATTAAACTTTTCTACAAAAATATTGTCAAATGGACGTTTCACAACACATAACATCAGTGGCGTAGCCAAAGATAATAAAGTATTATCTTTGGGAGTAGCTACACTGTTCAAAATTTCATGACCATTTTAACACCAAATTGACACCATACATGGTCTATATCGATGCAAACCAAAATGGTGTTAAATATGGTTCGTTGGTCCGGTGTAAATTCAAATACTAAAATAGTGTAAATTTAACTTTTACACAGTATTAAAATAAATTTTACCTGGTGTAAATTGAACTCCTTTTCAGTGTTAAATATAACAAAGTGACTAGAAGTACACCGGGAGTACCGCCATTAAACGTACACCGGGTGGAAAAAAATCCTTATTTAGCATATTTGTCAATTGTATAATATGAAATGGTCGCTCAATTTCGTGCTCAATGGGGCGGGGGGCCCAATGGGGCGGGGTCGGTTGGGTTGGGTTGTTGAGTTTGGGTTGGTTTGGGTAAAACAGCTGTTTCCACCTATTTAAGGTCTCTTTAGTATCGAACAACTTGTAGTGTCACACCAAAGCAAAGGACTACCTGAGCTTATATACTCTTCATGTAAGTTAACAGAGGCGAGATTTAAGAACATTACGTGATCCACACCGCCTTTGCTGCGATCGGTACACACTTGCAACCAGCAATGCACGGTAAATTGTTTTAATCGTTACAGATTACACCGTTTTGGTGTTTGATTTATATAACATTTTCAACCATAATTCATGGTGTTTATATTAACACCACTTGGTGTTGGATTTTGACACCATTTTAAGATTACTTTTTACACCACAGATATTTTAAACAGTGTAGACTCGAGGGGGCCCCGTATCAAAAATCTGGTACACTGTTATAAAAATCAGATTTGTTAATATGAGTTTGTAAGTAGTTTGTTAATTTTATTTTGTAAAATTTTAACATAATTTTTTGTAGAAAACAAGGGTTTTTAATTATTTTAACAAAGGAAAATTTTTTACCGAAAGTTTTGTAAAGGTAATATGCATTTTGTTAATTTTAAAGGTTATAGATTATTTTGTTAATTAACAAATTATTTCGTTAAAAAAGTACGTGATTTCAGGCAGGCAATCAAAACATTTCCCATTTAGAATACGCATTAACAAGTTTAACTAGCATACGAACTGTAGGTACATCATTTTTAAATAAATAGATGGTTTTTTTTTTACAAAAGAGAGGAAGGCAGAAGTCTTACTCGACAAATTTTGTTCAATTGCAAAGCTAAATCGCGCACGTTATTTGTGCTTTACGATGCAAGGAAAACACTAAAAAACTGGTTTAGTACTCGATTTCGATTGATTATCCTTTATATCATTGATTAAGAAACTCAACGCTTAAATGCTTATATAGTTACGTTGGTGTGTGCATTTTATCTAAGGGATCATGGTAAATTATTGCGTTTTTAATTGTAAATAAAATTCAACAACTAAATCGTTGCATTTTCATGTTTTGCCAATTCGGTAAGTACATTTGTTGGTGCAGAATTAACTAATGATAACTTTTCCCAATATAATTTATATTTAAGTTTGGATATTTTTAAGAAATAAGTAAAAAATAATGTTTGCAAAAACATAACCTTAAAATCATCCATTTTTATATTTGAGTCCTCTAAAAAAAAACAGACAACTGCATTTTAAACAACAAAATATACCTACGAATTCATGGCAACATAACATTACAGGGTGTCCGGAAAAAGGAGGTCAATCCGTTAACCATATATTCCATTTTTCAATTTAGAGCTTCATGTTCGATATACAGGGCGACAATGTTTGAAATTTAAAACTGATTTTTTTTAATAATTCGAGTAATTGATAAGATATTAACTTCAAATTCGGTACACTTCTTTAATATAAATAGTTACATCTTTTGAGAATAACAAAACAAAAAACATTTGTCAAATGATCAAGTGATTTGAAAATTATGAGATTGCCTTAAGCCGCGTAGGCATCAATCAAGGACCAATACTTTACAAATTATCTCTAAAACAAATCATTTTATCAAAATTTTATAAGAGACAAAAAATAATCACCAATAAATGTTTACTTGAAAAAATAAACTTTGTAAATTATTGGCGCACGTACTAAAAAAAAGTTGGAGTCAGTGAGTACTGGACCCCCCTATTTTGTTTATTTGACAATTGTTTTTTGTTTTGTTGTGCTCATTTATGTTAAAGACGTGTACCGAATTTGAACTTAATATCTTATCAATTACTCGAATTATTAAAAAAATCAGTTTTAAATTTTAAACTTTGTCGCCCTGTATATCGAACATGAAGCTCTAAATTGAAAAATGGTATTATAAAAGTTTGTTTTAAATCAAGGAATATATGGTTAACGGATTGACCTCCTTTTTCCGGACACCCTGTATATATAATACATAATATAATGGTATTTTACCGTTCTGTGGAGACTTTAAAGAATTCTTAATCAACGCTTTTAATAATGCTACATGCTGTTTAAATTTAGACGACTTATTTGTTTGACGATTATTACTGAACCTGTAGGTATAATTATCCATTATTATTAAATAATTTAGCAACGATTTCTTAATTCGCTAATAAAATTTGCCAATTCAAATAACCTCAATTCAAATCTGACAACAACATACTACAATGCGCATCATATTATATATTATATATGGGTCATTTTCAAGAAACACAAGCTTTCAGGAAAATGAAGATCAAAATTTTTTTTTTGCTTAAATTGACTTTTGGTTGGATTTTTATAAATGTTTAGAGTTTTGTTTACTTACATTTAAGACAGGCAGTGCACTTTTTAATTTTTTTACGGTTTTTTTTAGAAAAATGTGTTTAGCTAGCTTTATATGTCTCCACTGTGTTACCAATATGAAATCCAAAATTTAATTTAATTAAAAAAGTTGTTATAAAAATAATTTGAAATAAAATGTAGTTAGTTCACAAACTTTTGACTCCAATTTTATTTTTTATTAAAAATTGTATGCCTTTTTTAAATATTTATGTTAGTTAAGTTACTTTTTAAAAGACACCATTCTTTGTTAAAAAAACAATACCATTAATATTTTCTTTTAGTCACTGTATTAGTTAGTTAAACTCTAATTTATAAACAGGTATTACCAAGTGATAGTAAAATCATTTTAAGGATTTTTTTTTAACAAAAACTAAAAAAAAAATGAAATAGACATTAGTATCACAACGGACTGGGGTACACAAAGGATAACGTAAAAAAGAAACTATATAGGGTGGTACGATTTTAGAGTAATGCATAAACAAAATCCCTTGTAGTGGTGCTCACTTGCAGAATAACAACTTAAATTTTTAAATTATAGACACCCTTTTTCTTTGACTCTAAGCTAGTACTTGTATATTGCGTGGAATTTTCCCTTGGATGTAATCTATATCATAAGTTGTAATCACAAATAATTTTAAATTGGTTTATCATAAACTACTTTTAATAAAAGCGACGGTAAAAATCCACTTTGTCGTCGAAAAATTCTATTACATTACCCTAAATTCCATTGCGTTACCATAAGGTAACGTAATGGATTCGGTAACGCAGTGAACAAAGTTTTGTGAAACCATATTTAAAAAATAATAATAAAACATTACAGTCATTAATTACTCTATATGAACTTTAGTGCCCTAAAATAAACAAAAACATGAAAAATTGTATTTTTTCTTACCTTATTTTTTTTTTTGAGTAAGTTAGCGGACAAACAATTATTACATTCGCGTTAGCCGCACCTGTTTCAACCGATATCTTCTTCCTGATTGAACAAATAAATTCAGCTGGGTAATGTGTACGTTCGAAAATCATTTGTTAATCACGTGAGTGCCAAAAAAGTTGCCATATATATGTTTTTTTAAATATTCTATAGGTAACGCAACGGAAAAATGTTTGGGACATGAGTCAAATTTAAAAAAAGTAGATTAAAATTAATTAATTTATATATAAATTGTGTACTTTATGAACTAAGGATGTTATGGATTGCTATAAAGCAACACAAAATTCTGGTTATTCAATATTAATAAAAAAACATGTAGGTATGTAAGTTTTATAAAACGCTAATGGAACATGCGAAAATGTGTGTTTCATAAGTTTTAAAATTAAAAAAAATTATTCTAAAATAACTAAACAAACATTTTCTGAAAGAGTTTACTAAGGGCTTGTTAGGCTTTCACTTGGTTTTTAAATCAATAAGATCCGATAATTTTTAACAAAGTTATTGGAATTCAAACTTACATACAGCGGAAGGCAAGTGTTTTTTGAAAACGACCCATATGATTCATATATGATAATTATACATTACCTTTGAATAACTCACGTACCAAAGATACAATTAAAGTGAACGCAAGTTTTTAAACTCTATCCATATTAAATGAAAAAAATATAATCTATGTATATCTTATACAGTATAAGTTCACATAAAACAACTTAACCTAACTTTAAAATGTCAGAAAATAAGGTTAAGTTGTTTTTACTGAGAGTCGTTCATGACGCCATAAAATAAATCAGTTTACACGACGCCATATTAACTCCACTCGAGGAAACCTTCATGAACGCATGGGTGCACCCATGGTATTTCAAATATTTACCATTTTTTTTAATATTTCCTGATGTAGGTATACTGTAAATTATTTTTTGGTATAACATAACGAAAAGAGGTTTTGGTATCATTTTTGGGAAAACTTCCTCAACATTTGTCAAAAATGGCGAATGCGCCGGGATAAAGATTTGGTACTCACTTAAATGGCCCGATAGCATCCAAAGTTTGCGCCACGAGATCAGGATTGAATTTCAAATAAATAACAGCATAAGCACCCATCAAATAGGCAGCATTCGCCTTTTTCTTGTCGTTATTCGAAGTATAGTGGACAACACGTTTGACTCCGTTCGCGAAAATCAGGTACTTGTTCAATTTGGTGCAATATTTATACAAACACGAAATGCTCAATGGTCCAAAATCGCTGTAGTAGTTATGGTAAAACAGTTCATCGTCAACAGAAAAATACAAAGTGTCCACTGTGCTTCTCATTCTACGGTTGGTCAGGCCTTTTATTACGGCGAAATACAATTCGTTAGTCGTTATTTCTACCAGCTTGTCTATTTCGATTTTGCTTGTTTTGTAATCCATCTTTTGTAAGGTTACGGAAACAAGTAGCAGTTACTTTTTTGATCGTTACATAGAACTGCATAGGTGAAAAGTTGAAGCATATAATTTATCACAATGGCCAGGAGGAAATTTATTACTTTTGAGACAATTTTGTTCATGTTTTAATTTTGATCTTGAAATGACAGAGCCATATTTCAAATGTGACGTTTACATCTGAAAATCATAATACAACAAGTTATAGCTAGTAGGTATAGGTACTAGTGCATATTAGTATAGTGTTCTTGGTAAAAAAAGTAAAATAAAATTTCAAAACTATCACAAAAAGCACTGAAAACGATTTTTGACTTATCTAGCTTTTTCAGATGGTGCAGAAGTACCTATATTTAAATACGGGGGTAAATCAATGACTCTGTAACTTTAAATTTCACGCATTAAAACTTGAAACAGGGCCTAAATCATTGTTTCTGCTGCTCTTTATAGCCAGGGCATTATAAGATTATAAAGCTAATATAATAAAACAAAACTCTTTTTTTTTTCAAATTATAAAAAACTAAAACTAAAAAGTAAGTAATTTAAAAAAGTTTGTTTTTAATAAAAAAAAATAAACAAAACAATTTATAACAAAAAAAGGACAAGTGTTGCCATCTTGGGGGTCATAGTAGCAAACGAACTTCAAGGTTGGGCCAAAATACTTTTTAAACAAGAAAATGGGAGATTACTATTAGAAATCGTCGTTCGACAGCTTATAAGCTATAGCTGCACAGTTTTAGGTTTTTTTACTGTTAACTTTCGAAAAATACGGGATTTTCTGCTTATGTTCCCAGCAAAACAATATTTTCCTCCACAAGATGAATTTAAAACGCACTACAAACAAACAGTTTGTTACAAACTACAGCATCTTCTGCCGCAACTATTTCCGGGGAATACCCTTTTCTTACGAATACCTATAATAAGTAACAGATCGCTTTGATATCGATAGAGAATCTCTATTAAGAAAAACAATGGTTCTGAAAGAAATATATTTATTTTTTTCAGTTTATTTCACTAATTGTATTACCACTCTAATTTTTCTGTAAATTTATTCAAATTTTTTTACCCAACCAAAAATTAAAAAAATGGTACTGAGATTTTTTTTTTACTTTTCGTTTATAAACCCAAGTAATTACTATTAGGAAAAACATACTTTATCTACTCCTATATTGACGAGTTTTGCTTTATTGCATTTTAGTCACGGGCTGAAGTTAACAACAGTGGCTTTTGGGCATTTTAGTCACAAGCTGAAGTTAGCTTTATTATAAATTGCGAAAAAGTGAGGTTAAATTTGTTAAATGTCAAATTTTATGAAATAAAATTGTCTTTAAATTCTTATTTCTGTTCGTCGTAGATAAAGTATAGTATGCAACTCGTTTTATAAACTTCTCTAGACATTCGTTTTTTTAAACACTCGCTCGCAAGCTTCGCTCGTGCCTAATAAAACTCGTAACTAAAATGGCGTTTATAAAACTTGATACATAATATACTATTAAAGTCCTATTCTATAAAATGTTCGCAAAAAACATTATTTTTTTAAATTACGCCATTTTTTATTTGCTTTTACTTTTTTAACTTTAATTTATTCTGATTTATTTCTGTTTTTTTAATACAAAAACTTTTTTCTTACTACCTCGACTCAAAATACGTTGTTTCGTCCCCGATTCCACGGCAGAAAGTTTACGTTTTATGCATTGGTCAAGCTATACGCGCACACTGTAATAGCGGGAGTAAAAATTTTTTAGTCGTGTGCTTAACATTCAAATTTCGTACTGCCAACATGAGAAACACAAAAATATGACAGTTTTAAAGCATAATTTTGCAATTATAACAACAAATAAACAATATATGTTTTTACTTTTTTACTTTTTATGTTGTTTTAAGTGTTTAATGGTACTTTTATTTGTTATAAAGTAGTAATTTGTTAATTAAAATACAACGTTTTATTTTTACGGCCTACTGTTATTTATTTATCAAGCTCTTCAAATGGAGATAGGTACATAAATACACATTTAATTTTTTCCCGTATTTTCGGCCGAGGTAGTAAGAAAAATAGTATACACTACACGGGCAGAAAGTGTGAGAGCCCTGAACTGCGCGCCATGATCATGGCGCGCAGTGCAGGAATCTCACACTTTCTGCCCTTGTAGTGTAATATACTATTAAAGTTGTTAGCAATCTAATAATCTAATAAATACTAAGGCATTTGAGATATTAAATGCAAAATAAATCAGTTTTTAATAAAAACAATGCGATTTTTTTTCTGAAAAGGAAACAATTTACCAGTAAGTTGAAAAAAATTTCGATTAGTCAGTTTTTGAAAAAGTTATAAGCCAGCCATTCCACGCTACTCGGGAATTTTTGTAGCGTCCGTTACAATCAAAAATTGTGATTAAAAGCTAACGTAATTAAATTAAATACTGTTACAATAGTTAATATTGCAATTATTATGCTTGTAATAATTAGGCTTAAACTTATAAGCATAATAATTACGGTAGTTTTACTCACAATTTTTTATTGTAACGGACACTACAAAAATTCCCGAGTAGCGTGGAATGGCTGAAGCGTTTAAAATAAGGGTGGGTAAATTCACATTGTGAATTTAATACCCAACTAAAAACGTTTCTGCAGAAACGTTTTTAGTTGGGTATTAAATTTTAGCCAAAGAGAAGTTTTTATTGTTCAGAAAGATTATTATTTCCTAAACTGCTATACTAAAAAATATATTAAATTTTAAATTAGTTTAAGATTCTCTGCCAGCACCCCCTGCCTAAGGCCCTGACTTGAAAAGCAAAATTACTTCCGTTAACGCTAGAATCGAGTCAACCGTTAACAAAAAGATCCTGTGAAATTTTAAGCAAGCTGCTTTATTTAGTTTGGATGACAGCCATTAAAAGCAAAAAAGGAATTTCGTGTACTCGTGAAGTTTTATATTTGCGCTGTAAAACCATAACTTAAACTAAGGACTCTGGTTAAGAAGTGGTATACTCAATTTTGTGTTCTGGACGCTTAATTGAGGTCATTACAGCCAAAACAATTTAAAATAAACATTCGAACATGTTGTTGGCAGAACGGATATTGAGAGTTCATGAGATTGTATAAGCCATAATAAGCATATCATATGACTCAGTGATTTTATTTTAAATAATCATTTGGGTATAAGAGAGCTATACAAAGTATGAGCAACTTGCTCAGAGCAAGCACGTGCTTGCTCATACTTGGCCAAAAACACAATCGTGGTCAATTTCAAAGGAGTGCTCAACGTTTTCAACCGCCATATTCTCTAGATTTAACCCTTAGTGACTTTTCCAACCTGAAAAAACGGCTACGCAGAAAAAGATTCGTCTTCAAGGATAAAAAAATTAAGAAACGTTGGATGAAGTGTGAAAAAAACCGCCCCACAAAATGCTTATTTTATTAAAACCAGAAATTTCCCTTTAAAGTCTTTATATTTTGTTAAATATAAATCATAATATACATATATCAATAATATAAATGGGCGAATTTTCGTTAAATGTACAATTTGTATATATATTTTGTCCAGGCAGGTAAATTTGATCGATTTTTTTTCCTTTGTGATAGAACAGTGTAATATACTGCAAAAAATTTTTATAAGTTTATAAATAACAAAAATAAACTTTAAACAAATAAAACTTATAGGGTTAATCTGTAATAGGGAAGGAACACAAGGAAGAAATGAAACATTGTCCACCTCCTAACGCATCTTCCTGAACGTTTTATGACACATTGGCTTTTGACTTTTTTAAACGTTATTTTTCAAAAATACTGTTAAATGTAAATATCTTTCGGCATTTGTTTGAAATTTCTATTATGCTATAATACAAAATGAAAATAAAAAAGTTAACTTCTTAAACAAGAGTTATATGTAGCGTTTTGTAAAAGACACCAAAAGTGTACGCAAAAAAATCTTACCTTTAAAATATTTACAAAAAAATTCACACACTTTACACGTGCTCACTTGTTGTTACCGAACTATTAAACATGTATGCCCTCTAGAAATAACACGATAGTATCTCTATCTCGTGTCTCTATTTCGAAGCAGTCGGCATAGAAGACGACGTTAGGAAAAAGACAAGATTTTTGAATGTCAACTTTAATATTTTTTTCTGTTTAAACTATTTTGTAGAAAACTATTTTATTTTTATATACGAATAAAAGAATAAATAATTTATTTTTTCAAAAGAATATAATAATTTAAATTAAAAAATCGCCTCTGGGGACAGTTAGGTTACAGGACATTTCACCTAGTTTTTCTGCCATATATAGAAACATAAAGTAATTAAAAAAAAAATTACGATGGGTCCTAACAGGAAGGGGGTATTTAAATATAATAAATACAAAACTTATCTAGAAAGGTCAAAAATAAAAATAAAATTAGCTGGGGACAGCAAATGTACATTTAACTAAAATTTGCCCAAATACATTAACAATAATTGTTTCTAAAAACCAAAAAATAATAATTTTTTGAAGAAATTCCACATAATTAAATTCGGCTCAGTTCTTTAAACCTCTACTCCAACGTATGATATCCCATCTCCATCTGGCGTATCCAATCTGGACCTAACATGTTCTATGGTATTATTGAAATGCTTAGTAATTTGTTCCGTCTCGTCTCAACTTTACAAATTCGGCAGCTCTTCCTTAATCTTGCCGATAACTTGGTTCAAAATCTGAACACTGACCTGATCGTTGCCCTTCTCAAAGAAGTAAATGTAATGGTTCAGCAACTCCACAAACAACTGCACTTGCACGCTGATATCCATGCATTGTTTGGCGATCTTCAAGCCTTTTTTCAAACACTCCACCACCTTTTTACCGTCGTGAGATTCTTCCCTGTCGGTCGCGAGAGTCTTGCCGCTCCAAAACAGGTGGGTGCATGTGGCGACACCTCTGCACTGGTCGGGCTTTTTCAGCAACTTACTGGCGGCCAGCGCGCATTGCGTGCGCAGTGGCTCAGAGTTTTCTTCGGAGAAGCAACTGATCTGCTCCAAAGTCCCGACTATCAAAGTTATGGCGGCCAATTGCGCTTTGGAATCCGATATTTCGTCCTCGTACAAAGAGAACGCTTAAGACATAAACTCGTATGCCACGGTTTCGTGATTTTCAAAACCGATTTTGTCGATGGCTAGGGCACCCTGCAAATACAAACGCAACGGCAAATCGGCCAACTCAGCTTTAACTAAGGCTGTGATGGTTTGGTGGCAGAATTGGAATATTTTCTGGCACTTTTTCTCCCACTTCTCATCCTGGGTATCCCTGTATTTATAAGCCAGTTGATAGGCTTGGAACACCAAAGGAGGTAGCGTATATTTAATCCTTTGTGGACCACCTGTACCTAGAATCTATAAGGAAACCTTTGGATTGTTAATAAAGACGGATAAATAGATACAAACCTTTCTGGCAGAAGTCAAAATGAGATACTGATCATCCAAAACACTCGACTTCAGTTGATGCACGAACCTAGCCAGTAAACATTGTTCTTCCGCGAGTTCCTCGAGGTCCAACTGAGTACCAGGTGCTTCAATTTTATCATTTACGAGGGTGTTCAGTTGGGTTAAAGCTTGCTCAACTTCTTCTCGTGAAGTCTGAATCTAAAAAGCTGGAACAATTTACCATTAATTTGAAAAAAAAACTTCTTGATTAGTCAGTTTTGGTAAATACAAATTTCGGGAGGGTAAAATTTTGAAAAAATCACAAACGTTTTTACTGAGGTGGTAAATTTCAGGAAACATTTTTGTTGTGAAGAAATATTATTATCTTTTAAACTGCTATTTTAAAAAATTTATTAAATTTTAAATTAGTTTAAGATTCTTTGCCAGTCCAAAACCTACACTATGGCATGGCAAAAATCATCCCTCAAGAAACGCCATTTTAAGAAACTTGACAAATTACATTATTTGAAAGGGATTCAAAAATTATTCTTTACAGAAAAAGTCACGAAAAAGGTTTATTTTAATAAAACTAGAAATTTCCGTTTTAAGTCTATATATTTTTGTTAAATATAAATCATAATATACATATATCAATAATATAAATACATTAACAATAATTGTTTCTATAAATCAAAAAATAATAATTTTTTGAAGAAATTCCACATAATTAAATTCGGCTCAGTTCTTTAAACCTCTACTCCAACGTATGATATCCCATCTCCATCTGGCGTTTCCAATCTAGACTTAACATGTTCTATGGTATTATTAAAATGCTTAGTAATTTGTTCCGTCTCGTCCGAACTTTCCAAATTCGGGAGCTCTTCCTTAATCTTGCCGATAACTTGGTTCAAAATCTGAACACTGACCTGATCATTGCCCTTCTCAAAGAAGTAAATGTAATGGTTCAGCAACTCCACAAACAACTGCACTTGCACGCTGATATCCATGCATTGTTTGGCGATCTTCAGGCCTTTTTTCAAACACTCGACCACCCTTTTACCGTCGTGAGATTCTTCCCTGTCGGTCGCGAGAGTCTTGCCGCTCCAAAACAGGTGGGTGCATGTGGCGACACCTCTGCACTGGTCGGGCTTTTTCAGCAACTTGCTGGCGGCTAGCGCGCATTGCGTGCGTAGTGGCTCAGAGTTTTCTTCGGAGAAGCAACTGATTTGCTCCAAAGTCCCGACGATCAATGTTATAGCAGCCAATTGCGCTTTGGAATCAGATATTTCGTCTTCGTACAAAGAGAAAGCTTGAGACATAAACTCGTATGCCACGGTTTCGTGATTTTCAAAACCGATTTTGTCGATGGCTAGGGCACCCTGCAAGTACAAACGCAACGGCAAATCGGCCAACTCAGCTTTAACTAAGGCTGTGATGGTTTGGTGGCAGAATTGGAATATTTTCTGGCACTTTTTCTCCCACTTCTCATCCTGGGTATCCCTGTATTTATAAGCCAGTTGATAGGCTTGGAACACCAAAGGAGGTAGCGTATATTTAATCCTTTGTGGACCACCTGTTCCTAGAATCTATAAGACAAACTTTGGATTGTTAATAAAGACGGATAAATAGATACAAACCTTTCTGGCAGAAGTCAAAATGAGATACTGATCATCCAAAACACTCGACTTCAGTTGATGCACGAACCTAGCCAGTAATCATTGTTCATCAGCGAGTTCCTCGAGGTCCAACTGAGTACCAGGTGCTTCAATTTTATCATTTACGAGGGTGTTCAGTTGGGTTAAAGGTTGCTCAACTTCTTCTCGTGAAGTCTGAATCTAAAAAGCTGGAACAATTTACCATCAATTTGAAAAAAAACTTCTTGATTAGTCAGTTTTGGTAAATACAAATTTCGGGAGGGTAAAATTTTGAAAAAATCACAAACGTTTTTACTGAGGTGGTAAATTTCAGGAAACGTTTTTGTTGTGAAGAAATATTATTATCTTTTAAACTGCTATTTTAAAAAATGTATTAAATTTTAAATTAGTTTAAGATTCTTTGCCAGTCCAAAACCTACACTATGGCATGGCAAAAATCATCCCTCAAGAAACGCCATTTTAAGAAACTTGACAAATTACATTATTTGAAAGGGATTCAAAAATTATTCTTTACAGAAAAAGTCACGAAAAAGGTTTATTTTAATAAAACTAGAAATTTCTGTTTTAAGTCTATATATTTTTGTTAAATATAAATCATAATATACATATATCAATAATATAAATACATTAACAATAATTGTTTCTATAAATCAAAAAATAATAATTTTTTGAAGAAATTCCACATAATTAAATTCGGCTCAGTTCTTTAAACCTCTACTCCAACGTATGATATCCCATCTCCATCTGGCGTATCCAATCTGGACTTAACATGTTCTATGGTATTATTGAAATGCTTAGTAATTTGCTCCGTCTCGTCTGAACTTTCCAAATTCGGCAGCTCTTCCTTAATCTTGCCGATAACTTGGTTCAAAATCTGAACACTGACCTGATCGTTGCCCTTCTCAAAGAAGTAAATGTAATGGTTCAGCAACTCGACAAACAACTGCACTTGAACGCTGATATCCATGCATTGTTTCGCGATTTTCAGGCCTTTTTTCAAACACTCGACCACCCTTTTACCGTCGTGAGATTCTTCCCTGTCGGTCGCGAGAGTCTTGCCGCTCCAAAACAGGTGGGTGCATGTGGCGACACCTCTGCACTGGTCGGGCTTTTTCAGCAACTTGCTGGCGGCTAGCGCGCATTGCGTGCGCAGTGGCTCAGAGTTTTCTTCGGAGAAGCAACTGATCTGCTCCAAAGTCCCGACTATCAAAGTTATGGCGGCCAATTGCGCTTTGGAATCCGATATTTCGTCTTCGTACAAAGAGAAAGCTTGAGACATAAACTCGTATGCCACGGTTTCGTGATTTTCAAAACCGATTTTGTCGATGGCTAGAGCACCCTGCAAGTACAAACGCAAGGTCAAATCGGCCAACTCAGCTTTAACTAAGGCTGTGATGGTTTGGTGGCAGAATTGGAATATTTTCTGGCACTTTTTCTCCCACTTCTCATCCTGGGTATCCCTGTATTTATAAGCCAGTTGATAAGCTTGGAACACCAAAGGAGGTAGCGTATATTTAATCCTTTGTGGACCACCTGTACCTAGAATCTATAAGGAAACCTTTGGATTGTTAATAAAGACGGATAAATAGATACAAACCTTTCTGGCAGAAGTCAAAATGAGATACTGATCATCCAAAACACTCGACTTCAGTTGATGCACGAACCTAGCCAGTAAACATTGTTTTTCGGCGAGTTCCTCAAGATCCACCTGCGTACCAGGTGCTTCATTTTTATCATTTATGAGGGAGTTCACTAGGGTTAAAGATTACTCGACTTCTTTCTGACAATTTACCAGAAATTTAAAAAAAAACTTCTTGATTAGTCAGTTTTTGAAAACACCAAATTTCGGGTGGGTAAAAGATTTTGAAAAAATTACAAACGATTTTAGTGAGGTGGTAAATTTCAGGAAATATTTTTATTGTGAAGAAATATTATCTTTTAAACTGCTATTTTAAAAATGTATTAAATTTTAAATTATAGTTTAAGATTCTTTTCCAGTCCAAAACCTACACTAAGGCATGGCAAAAATCATCCCTCAAGAAACGCCATTTAAAGAAACTTGACAAATTGCATTATTTGAAAGGGATACAAAATTTATCATTTACACAAAAAGTCACGTAAAAGGTTTATTTTAATAAAACTAGAAATTTCCGTTTTAAGTCTATATATTTTGTTAAATATAAATCATAATATACATATATCAATAATATAAATACATTAACAATAATTGTTTCTATAAATCAAAAAATAATAATTTTTTGAAGAAATTCCACATAATTAAATTCGGCTCAGTTCTTTAAACCTCTACTCCAACGTATGATATCCCATCTCCATCTGGCGTATCCAATCTGGACTTAACATGTTCTATGGTATTATTAAAATGCTTGGTAATTTGTTCCGTCTCGTCTGAACTTTCCAAATTCGGCAGCTCTTCCTTAATCTTGCCAATAACTTGGTTCAAAATCTGAACACTGACCTGATCATTGCCCTTCTCAAAGAAGTAAATGTAATGGTTCAGCAACTCCACAAACAACTGCACTTGAACGCTGATATCCATGCATTGTTTGGCGATCTTCAGGCCTTTTTTCAAACACTCGACCACCCTTTTACCGTCGTGAGATTCTTCCCTGTCGGTCGCGAGAGTCTTGCCGCTCCAAAACAGGTGGGTGCATGTGGCGACACCCCTGCACTGGTCGGGCTTTTTCAGCAACTTACTGGCGGCCAGCGCGCATTGCGTGCGCAGTGGCTCAGAGTTTTCTTCGGAGAAGCAACTGATCTGCTCCAAAGTCCCGACGATCAAAGTTATGGCAGCCAATTGCGCTTTGGAATCCGATATTTCGTCCTCGTACAAAGAGAACGCTTGAGACATAAACTCGTATGCCACGGTTTCGTGATTTTCAAAACCGATTTTGTCGATGGCTAGGGCGCCCTGCAAATACAAACGCAACGGCAAATCGGCCAACTCAGCTTTAACTAATGCTGTGATGGTTTGGTGGCAGAATTGGAATATTTTCTGGCACTTTTTCTCCCACTTCTCATCCTGAGTATCCCTGTATTTATAAGCCAGTTGATAGGCTTGGAACACCAAAGGAGGTAGCGTATATTTAATCCTTTGTGGACCACCTGTACCTAGAATCTATAAGGAAACCTTTGGATTGTTAATAAAGACGGATAAATAGATACAAACCTTTCTGGCAGAAGTCAAAATTAGATACTGATCATCCAAAACACTCGACTTCAGTTGATGCACGAACCTAGCCAGTAAACATTGTTCTTCGGCGAGTTCCTCGAGGTCCACCTGCGTACCAGGTGCTTCATTCTTATCATTTACGAGGGTGTTCAGTAGGGTTAAAGCTTGCTCGACTTCTTCTTGCGAGGGAACTATGGTTTCGTTATCTAAGGCGTTGGTGAGTATGTAAATGCTTAACGCTTTTCTTCCGTAGTAGTCTAAATGCTGCATCAACCCCGCATAATGTTTCAGTTTTAAAACCATAAGTAGATCGTTGTAGTTATCCAGTGGAATTTTTAGTAACTTTTGCAGTTCTTTAGCCACCGAAGTGTTTGATTCCAGATGCTCCATGCCCAATCTTTGTAGAACCTTCGTAAAAATTATTGTGATAAAATGTACAAATTGGCGAATTAAAAAACTTACTTCTACACTGGACAACATAACTTTATCAATGTAATCGATACGGTCCGGGTAACATTTCAACGCTAAATTCACCAAGGCAACCTGTAGAGCCACCATATCCTCTGGGGGCAAATACTGCCTGTTTGCAATAATAAGGGAAACTTGATTCGAGAAAATCTCGAACAACTGAACCTCCTGCAAAATACTAACACCTAGAAACAAAAATCAAAATCCACAATAATTAAAACTGATTCGTTTGTATACCATCACTTCCCAAAGCATCCGATCTTTGGCTAAACGCTGCCAATCGCTCCATAAGGCTGATGACGATGTTTTTAACGTTGACACCAACTTCAAGTTCGGCGCATGATTTTAAGAATGGGTTTAGAGTTTGGATGTGGAATTCGTCGGGGAATACTTGGATAATGCATTCCATTAGATACTCCTGCGCAATTGCATCTCTACAGCTTACCACCTATAAGTATTATATATTACATTGTTTGTTACAACCTTAATAAAAGTTACATAATGTAACTCAGTGGCGGATTGGGGATTTTGGGTATACCAATATCTCAGTTATTAGACATGGGACCCACACCAAATTTATAATAGTTTATTATGACATTAAATAGACAAGTTCGGCGCAAACAGAATTTAAATTGAAGTTTGCGAAAAAAAGTTAGTTTTTTGTGTCGCCTCACCTGGCTTCTGGCCCCCCCATTTGAGATAATTCAAATTTAAGTTGTGCAATTTATACTTCACTATAATTTATCGGTAAATTTAAAATTTTATTTGAAAAAGCCAAATATTACAGATTTTATACCATATTAAATATTTTTTTATTATAATAAAATAAATAATAAAAATTTAAAATCGTATAAAATCTGTAATATTTATATTTTTTAAATAAAATTTTAAATTTACCGATAAATTATAGTGAAGTATAAATTGCACAACTTTAATTTGAATTATCTCAAATGGGGGGGCCAGAAGCCAGGTGAGGCGACACAAAAAACTAACTTTTTTTCGCAAACTTCAATTTAAATTCTGTTTGCGTCGAACTTGTCTATTTAATGTCATAATAAACTATTATAAATTTGGTGTGGGTCCCATGTCTAATAACTGAGATATTGGTATACCCAAAATTCCCAATCCGCCACTGATGTAACTGTGGTAAAGAAATTAAATTATCTACGCTGGAAGAGCAGGTAGAAACCCAGCAAAAACATAAGTGTGATTATGTAATTGCCCATTGCATAGTTTCATGGCTTAATAATGGCATTTTTAGCCAAAGCTTTCCTTGTACTGGGTCTTTATAGAAACGTTTCAATAAAAATATTAATTTTGATAAAAAGCTGTCGTGTTAAGGTCTTGCAATTGCCCTTTTCGGGCTAATATTTGTATAATTTACCATAAAAGACCCATATATGGCAATTTTTAGTATCAAGTTAATGGGAAAAATGGGAAAAAACATTGAAATGTCAAATGTTTTCTGTATATAAAACTTACATAAACCTTTAATTATTTTTTGGTTAACGCCATATTTTAAAAATAACGCCCAGTGTAATTCCTATAGTGTTAATAGTGGGTTGTACCACATACATAAATAATAATAATACCTAATGGTTATTAAATTTAAATGAAAAAGTAGGTGCATTTTTAATTTTACAAATTTTAGAACTCTTATTACAGACAAAATACAGCCAAAGAATTTGGTAGAAAGGTTTAATTGAGGTCAAAATTGGGGCAATTGCGAATAAAATAAATTAATAATGGCTTGTTATAAAGGACAATCTAACATAAAAATCAAGTGAACTTATTTGTAAATATATATTTTAATTTTAAATATTTTCCATTTAGTTTAAATATTTAATTTATTAACTACCTAATAAACAGTTTTTAAATTTTTTTATATTTTACTTATACAGGTACCCAGTAAAGATTTTCCGTTATTTGTCACCATTAACATTGCCCGTTATTCATTTTATTAAACATAACATTTATTTTTACTTGAAAATGTTAAAATAACTTCAAAATATGATTATGTTAAGAACATATTTTACTCTTTAAACAATTGTTTTGTTTTCAGTGATGTAATGTATCGAGATACATGTATCTAGATACTGGATCTAGATACATTTTATGTACCTAGATACGTATCGAGATACTTAAAAAAATCAGGATCTACTTTAGTATCTAGATCCTTTTGAAAGTATCTAGATCCTTAGATACAAGATACATTTTATTTTGAATTTGTACTACAAATTTTGTAGTAAGCTTTCATATGGCGCGTAAATATAAAATTTATTTCCGTTTTTCATGGATATTTCGTCAATTTTATCAAAACAGTTTTATTTTATAGTTAACACGCTTGTTTATAAGGTCCAAAAATTTTTTTTTGTCATTTAATTTTTAAGTTTTTTTAACATAGTATCTGGAAGTAACTTAGATACTTTTTGAATGTATCTGTATCTGTACCCAGATACTTTTGGGAAAATGTATCGGTATCTGTACCCAGATACATCTACCAGAGAGTATCTGTATCAGTACCTAGATACTGAAAAAAATGTATCGGTTACATCACTGTTTGTTTTTAATTACCTACTATCATTGCAAAATTGTATTAAAAATTCTTACACAGGCAATGTTAATGGTGACAAATACCGTTAAAATGTTTATTGGGTATTTATTGGAACAAATTACTTGGTATTTTTTTTGGTAAATTTATAAATGTTTTTGTATTACATTTCATGATAATATACGAGTAAGTATTAATTAATGAAATGTATAAGTAAAGTATTTATTATGGCGGATTAAATGTGGTTTGTTTATATTTATTGGGTCGGATATTCCTTGATAATAGAAAATTTTTATCCCGACCCGATAACAATTTCTGATTATTGTGGAATATCCTTATCTAATAAATATATACCTACCACATTTAATCCACCATAATAGATACTAAGTATGTATTGTGGTAAATTTACTTATACATTAAAAATTATTTAAATAACCACTTTAGAATCTTTAACAACCCATCTCAGAATCTTTAGCGCGCCATATCAAAAAATGGAATGGTTCTTGTAAGTACCTTTATTGACTGCAGTTACATGCCCAATAAAGGTGAATGCGACATAATATGTACAGTTCCATTTAGCTTGATTTATAGATTGCCTTCCTTCCTTCCTTCCTTCTTTCCTACCGTATAAACAGCACAACGGTTTTTGTATTGTTCATCTTTTACGGGAGGAAGGAAGGAAATAACGGGCTATTATAGTACCTTTACGGTTGTGATGGCTGGGAAAGTTGTTTTGAATAAATCCGATAAAACTCCGAAAACAGACGAATATTCCCGAATATATGCGTGACACAATTCCATTTGGTTTTGGTTCACATGAGTTACACAAGTTATTAAATTAATATTTTATAATATTATTTTTATTTTGTTTAAAACTTATTAAAAGAATAATAATAGTTATTTATGTCATAAGGTTAAGAAGTAAGGCTTTTTGTGCTAAGCTCAAGGTTTGAAGGCCGACGCGTAACGGAGGCCTACAATTGAGCGAAGCACAAAAAGGCACTTCTTGGCCGAATGGCATACAACATTTTATCTTCAAAGCACTTAAAGTGCTTTGAAAATAAAATGTTGTATGCCATTCGGCCAAGAAGTGACTTTATATAGGTCAATTTAATTCAACATCAAAGCGGCCTAACCTCACTTTTTTAGAATCTCATTTATTTACTAAAACAAACAAATTAGTGCTTATTATAAATAAATTAAACCAGTTTAGTACGTTAATTTCTTAGAAAAGGATTAATTTGTCAAAACAAAACCCCTAGCGAGAAAAAATCGAACTAATTACTTGCCTCATACAAAATTTTATCGGCCTAGGCCATAACAAGATATTTCTTTATGGAATGTTGACAACAATAAAGTTTAAATTATAGACCGCGTGGAGATAAACAATATTTTAAAATAAATTTTATATCGTGTAGTTTTTACTCACAATTTTTAATTGTGACGGGAGGGACAAAAATCCCCGAGTATCGTGGAATGATCCTGTATCTACGTTCGCAAATTCGAACATTGTATTTCAAGTTTCAGCAAAAACTAATTAAGATCATTTCTTTATATAAACGTGTTGTCTTTGTTAATAAATTTGAAAACCCGTCGGAAATCTTATTAATTTATTATTTTAACTTTCTTCACCAATTTAAAATGTAAAAACTAGAACAAAATCCAACAAAAATATTTTCTGGATATAAAAATTCTAATAAAGTTTTATAAACGTCATTTAATACCTGCGTTTAATTATGCACGAGCAAAGCGAGTTTTTAATAAATGGGTTAATTTTATTTGACATTTTATCTGACAACTGTCAAAATGTTTTATCTAACTTTTGCCCATCTGTCAAACGGTTTTAACCTCACTTTTCCCCAATTTAATGCACAAATTCATTAAGTAACATAATACACTAGTTATTAAATGTAGTAGTAGATAAAAACAAAAAGTTCTGACCTGTTCCAAAATGCCAGGCAACACAGACTTCTGATACTTCTCCAATGTAACCGACTCCAACTGACTTAACCTAACTAAATTGGTGCCAACCAAAATCCGAAGCTCCTCTCGTTCCCTCTCCCTGTTCTGCCTCTCCCTCGAATGACCCTGATGCTGCATCCTAACCCAAAGTTTATTCATTTCCGCGAAATTCATCAGCACAAAATCAATGGAGTCTTTTACAGTGCCTTCTGGACAATCGGTGTCTACATCAGGTGCATCGGGTAAAACGTTTCTTGTGCATTGCAAAAGGTAGTTGCGGAGAAATAAACCTCTGAGAGGGTGTTGTACCCCTTAAAAGAAAATATATTTTTGAAAATACATTGGTAAAAAAGTTTATATTCTATAATACCAGTAATTAGTTAACATTTAAGGCAAAACCAATAAAAAACACAAAAAGAAGTCATGAAGCATGGAATGTGTTATTGTTTGGTAAATAAAAATAAAGTTTTATTAACATAACAACAATGATAAGAAATATTTGTTTAATCAATAATTATTATTAATGAATTATGAAATGTGTTGAATAAACATAAATACCTCTGCACATTTCAACAAGATCCTTTAACAAATCCCTTCTTAAGGATGTATTAGTTTTAATGTAAACCAATCCAACAGTTATAAGAAGATATAATCTCGGAACAATATTTCCTGCATATTGAACCAATTCATACAAATCTGTAACTTTTCTGCCTTTACGGAACTCATCAACCAAATATAATTCCATGTGTCTTAATTCATCTGTTATGGCCATATCTAAAATTCAAACTTTGTAGAAATGTACTTGCATTCCAAATCACCCAAAAAAAATATTGAGAAACACTATTGGGTGATTTGGTATTGAATGAACTTGATTCATACATAGTTCATAGTAGCTTTTGGGGGATAATAAAGAAGTTCTTAACTCGGTGAGCATAGCACTTGCATTTTTTAAAGCTTCCATCAATTTGTTTTTATCCAAGGCCCTCTTCATATGAAAGGCCTGAGCCTTGACGACGCCTAACGCATCGTGTAAATATTTTTCTTGTTCCTCCACAGGAGATATCTGGGGAGGCGTTGTGGGCTACAAAAATTAAATAATAATGCATTGACAACCGAGATAGGTTATGTGAATTTTGACGTAAAATTACCGAAAATTCGCCAAAAATTTTCACGTAATCTATAACTAAAGGCACTTCATTGTGTATTGAACTCATAATAATCAAAGCTATGTAACTTCGATGACGTGTAGATATAAAAACATAAATAATTACTTACCATTTTTGAGGTGTCAAATTTTCTTTCATATGTTACCAACCCTAACTCACAGAACATAACTGGTAAATTACCAACAGCTTGTTGGTGTTTTCTTTTTAATTTTTTGCCATCTATCAGACAATAGCTTCACTAAGTTAACACTAACAATGTATGTATGCAACAAAGTATACACCAATATGTTTAAATTGCATATATACAGGGTTAAGGAATAAAACCTTTATAATCTGTGAATAAAATTACTGGGTTTTATGCAGTGGTACGATATTAAATAAAATACGTATTACTTAGCACATCTACAATTATTTACAATACATATAATAACTACTAATAAATAAATACTTATACATATAAAGTTCATAAACTTCAAGATTTTTGTTCAACCTTTTCTGCCTCTGCCTTTGCTGCAACCATAAGTTCATATAATTGATTTATTTGCTCGTCCCTTAAACTCTCCAAATCACAACTCGATAAAGGTGCCCCAAATGTTTTCGTTGTTGATGTCAACGGGCCTCGAATACCCAATTGTTTTGCTAAATCTATTGCATAATGCTAAAATTAAAATAATTACCAGGGAATTAAACAATATATGTCCTTCAGCTACCGTCCATTCATTAATAAATGTCTCAGCTTCACTCAGACTACAAGTTTTATGTCTTCGAAACTCATCCATTGCATAATTTGTCCCTATTACTTGTAGCTCATCTGGTAGACCTCTATGTAGCTTTAAAATTGTTTTATAAAGTATTCTTACTCTTTGTACGTTTGAATACGACATTTTTTCCTAGCTTTTCAGTTTTTTATTCACAACACAATATTTTCTTAGGTTAGGTTTGATGTTGACATCTGTCAGATTTGTGGGGTTAGGTAATTATCAGTGAAAACTTGTGATGTTGATTTTACGGATATCTTGAAGAAAAATGAATGATTCGCGTAAACCTTTTGCTTGTACTGTTAAGGGATGTGAAATGACTTTTTCGGTAGAAGATCATTTGACTGTCCATCAAAATAAACACATGTTAACTGTCAACACAAACCAAAAATGTGATCTGGGTAAGTAAATACACTCTTAAAACAGTTATATCTGGCTAAAATGTCCCTTTAGTAAATAAAATGTCTTTTTAAAGCGGATCAAACACCAACCCCTACAAGATTTCTAAGGAACTGTGATGAAGTAGGATTATTTCAGGATTTACAAATAGTAAATCCTTTTGATGAACTTTTTAAAAAAGCCACTGAAAGCCCTAAATGTGAATTACGGCCTGAAGTTACCTGCGACGATACTCTACATACACCACATATTTTACCTCATATACAAGAATGCACAAAGAAATATGACACTAGTGAAAATAGTTCTTGTATTTCAAATGACTTTACAATATCAATAGCAGATAATTGTAATCGAGTATTACCTACAATTGTAATACATGATGAAAGCTCAAATGAAGTCAAAGTTGATAATATTAATGTTAAAAACAAATTAAAAAGAATTCTTCTGAAGAATAACATTAATGTTAAAAGTGATGCTCAAAAACCCATAGAAAAACCAAATGAGCAAAGATATGTTCATGAAGAAACTAAGGAGAAAATACGCGAAATGAACAGAGCTGCTCAGTTAAGATGCAGGAATAAAAAAAGATTAAAAATGAAAAAATTAGAAGAAGAAATGCAAAAGTTAAGAAATGAAAATAAAAGACTGTGTTTGGAAAATGTTGCTTTAAAAACTGAGAATATGAATCTCAAAGAAATGCTTCTTGAAAAGGCCACTACAGTAACAAGTAAGTTTGTTTTAATTTAATTTAAAAAGTAAAGAATTCAATGAACATATTGTTTCTAAAAGGTAATTTTTAATTGCAGAAAATGATAAACCTTCAGATCCTTCAGGAAATGTATCCTATGTTTGTATAATTTCAACAGAACCTGCCAGTGTCAGTTACCCTATAGTACAAAAGCCATCTAGTAATAATAACATTAATAGTAATTTATTTGTAAGGAATTCAAACATTCCAATTAATAATAATCATACTAATATTAATAACAAAAAATCATTCCTTGTTCTACAAAATCCAAAACATAATAAAAGTAAAAAGTTTAGACGTATTGTTCCAAAAGTAAATAGTAAATCTGATGGAAGTAAGAAAAATTGATTAAAAATGTATTTTAAGATATTTATTTTTGTTATATTATACATCACTATTTGTACAAAATAGTTTTATATTGTTAAGTAAGTTTAAGTCACATTTTACGAATAAATTGTTATTAAAAATTGTTGAGTTATTTTTGATATATATTTAAAACAATTACAAACACTGTGTATTTCCTAAGATAAAATATTACACATCTAAAAACGGTTCTTATGAAAACAAGGTAAAGAAGGCATTTCTAGCTAGTGGAAGCTCACATGTTTGACACTGTGTATTAAGTCTGCAATGCAAATTTATTATTATTAACTTTATTATTATTAATGATAATTATTAATGTTTAAATCACCATAACTTGGTTAATATTAAAAAAAAAATTAAAAAAAAATAACAGTTGAGTGCGGAAAATACAGTTTCCGCGCGTGTTAGGTACAATTAATTTTCTTTATGAGTACATATTTAGTTTTAACTTTCCATTGTTTGCGGAGACTGTCAAGCGTGCGAAAAGTAATTGCGTGCGGAAAACTGCAACTTTCCGCACGGTTATGTAGCGCGCCGAAAGAAGCCTGAAGTAGCGGAAGTACGCTTGCAAAAAAAGTTAATTTAAACATTTCATTAATAAAAAATTATTTGCAATTGTAAGTAGGTACAGAAAAGCCCTGAGAATACAAAAATTACGAAAATTCCTATGCATTCCTAAGCATTACAAACTATATATTTTTATTTATTACTTTCTTTTTATACATAATATACAGTGCGTCTCTGATCGGGTTACCAATAGGAAATACTTTTTTACCAATAGGAAATACTTTTTTATTATGCATTTTCATGTTTTCTTAATATCTGAGCACCCTGTGGGATTGGGAAAAGTTTTTGAATTAAATGTACAGGGTGCTCAGATATTCAGAAAACATGAAAATGCGTTTTACGATAAAATTCGTCATAAAAACTACTGATTACAAAAAAAATACATTCTCATAAAAAAAATTGAATTAAAGTTTAATGTACAGGGTGCTCAGAAATGAAGATAACCTACCTTCACTGCGCATAATAAGTAAAAAAATTCTAACTCTAATCTATCTTAGTTTACGTGTTCGAGGGTTTTTCGAGAAAAAAATTTTAAATAATACAAAAAACGTTCGAAAAATAACTTTTAGGGAATTTTTTTTAAGCAAACAAAAATGGTGTTAAAGACCGTATTTTTGTTAGTATACCCTGAACATTTTGTACAAATCAAACGAACAGTAACGAAGATACAGCGCTTCAAAGTCGGTAAAAGTGACCCCTTTTTGATTATTTTGCTGAAAAGTGGTCATTTTTGACGACTTTGAAGCGCTGTAGTTTCGTTTCTGTTCGTTTGATTTGTACATTTTCAGGGTATACTTACAAAAATACGGTATTTCACAGGATATTTTTTATTTCCTTAAAAAAATTCCCTACACACAGAAAAAAAATTCATTTCAAGAGGAATTATTGTTTTCAAAATGTTTACTTCATTCAAAACACTATAAGTTCTAATTAAGACTATGCTTTTACTTGGAGAAAAACGCTAAGATTACTGGGAAAATGTTATTTCTTTAAATTATTTTTTTTAACTGAAACATAACGGTTTCATTTGGAATAATTTTTAACAAGTTAACATAAGAATAAGAAAATGTTTGAATGAAAGGAAAATTTATTCTTGAACTGATTCAACGATTTTTTCATTTGATTTGATTTGAAACGTAACTATTATTTTAAGTTTCTAGACTATCATTTTCTTTATTAAAAAAATTATTGAAACTTGATAATTTTCAAAATTAGCCAATTTTGCCCTCAGAAATCATTATGTTGAGGAAAAAATAAAAATCTGAAACTTTCAGGAAATGTAGTCCCCACCTTTATCTTTTCAGTCTAGTTAGTCTTGTTTTGTTATTTTTATCCATGTAAAAGATATAATAATTTTTTTAATGCAGTTAAGAAGCGAAATTGTTAGTTTTATTTATAATTTAAAATTTAGATGGCTTTGACTTAGTCAATTCATGTTTGGTAGAGAAATGTCAGAACTGTCAAAAATATTTCATAAATATTATTTGTGCGTATTTCTTTAGTAAATATTGTATATAACATAATATGTCATTATGTTATATACAAAACTTTTTAAAAATCACCAAAGGAATACCACAAATAATAATTATGAAATATTTTTGACAGTTCTGATATATGTGGTAGTTATGTTATATTTTATGTATTGTAAAGGGTTTTTCATTTAGAGCGTCAGAACTTTTAAATGAGATAAAAAAATAACTACATGTTATAATCCCGTAATCTATATTTTATTTTGAAGAACGATCGATGACATTATGTTTTAAATATAATATCGTTTAAATGTCCCCCTCGACTTTGCCTGACTGAATGCATTATGAAGGCCTTATTTCTACTATTCTTTTACAAATATCGCGTGGTATACTTTGAATAGTGCGTTTAATGTTTCGTTTAAGGTCGAGAATTGTTCGTGGCTTATTTTTGTAAACCTGAGATTTCACATGATCCTTTAGATGCACAAAAGTTGACTTATTTGCCAGTAAACCAGTTTTTTCTTAAACGATAAACCTTATATTTCTCGCAACTTGCAAAATGTTTGGCAACCGAACATGCATTTTGATGGTAAATACGAATTATTTCTAAGCGCTGTTAAATTGTTATCTGTCCATATTAATTTGACACAATGTACTGAACACATGTGTTGTCAAGATTTGACATTTACATTCCAGAGCAGCCTTATTTTTAGGGTTAAAGTTATGACGCTTTAAATGGAAAACCCTTTATAATCATATGGAGTCAATCCAAATGAAAACACCAAAAATGAATTTAAAAGTGCGCTGCATGATTTTTTATTGTAATGAAAAAAATTGAGGATGATCTTTTAGGTGTCAAATATGAAAATCCGTTGCCGTTTTAATTTTTTGTTGCTTTACTTTTATTTGGCACCCCTTAGAAGTCTGAAATTGTGTCAATTTCTTACTCTCTTATAGTGGGCCAGAACTTTTTTTCTGTGACAAATATTGAAATAATTTAAATATTGTTTTACTGTCCAGTAAGTGTGTTTTCGATATAAATTATTATTATCCAATTAGTTAATCTCATAAAAGAATGGTAAACCACTAAAGATTCATCATAATTTGCCAATTTTTGTGATTTTTGTCTGGCTCCTGTGCCTATTCTACTGAATTTAGAAGGTTCATTTTTTTCAGGTATAAAGTACTTATACAATAGAAAACGTAACTATTATTTTAAGTTTCTAGACTATCAATTTCTTTATTAAAAAAATTATTGAAAATTGATAACTCTCAAAATTAGCCAATTTTGCCCTTAGAAATCATTATGTTGAGGAAAAAATAAAAATCTGAAACTTTCAGGAAATGTAGTCCCCACCTTCATCTTTTCAGTCCAGTTAGTCTTGTTTTGTTATTTTTATTCCTTTAAAAGATATATTAATTTTTTTAATGCCCGTTTAGTAGCGATATTGTTAGTTTTATTTATAATTTAAAATTTAGATGGCTTTGACTTTGTCAATTCATGTTTGTTAGAGAAATGTCAGAACTGTCAAAAATATTTCATAAATTTTATTTGTGCGTATTTAAATTGTGATTTCAAAAAGTTTGCAAGTGTAATAAATGACGGAGTGTTCGAGATTCATGAATTTAATTGCAATTAAAAATGCAAGGACATATAATAATTTTGTACCTCTTTCTTATAAAAAATATTTAAGTTTTGAGAAGTTTTAAATTGTTAAAAATAAGCAAAAACCAAAAAATAATCTAAATAAACCCCTTTATTATAACATGTTTTATTTTAACCAGTTACCTAAAAACTAAAATTTAAAGAAGTATTTACAGATTATGTAAATTTTTTCCAACACTAACATTTAAAATACATACATTTAACTTTTTACTATTTAGTGCCTTACTAAAGGGATCAAAATAATGGAACAAGACTAACTTGGGTTAAATTGTGAAAGAAACCGACAAAAAACTGCTTAACGCATTTTTTATACGTTTAAATTAACTCTTTATTAATTTCACTTCTTATACTTAACGATATAAACCATAAGGATCTTGAATATATTTTTTATCTTCTTTAAACACCAATTAGCCAATTAAATACTTCATTATAATTTATATAATATATAATCATATATATATATATATATAATATATATATATATATATATAATATATATATATATATATATATATGATTTTTCAATACATAAAATATAACATAACTACCAAAAATATCAGAACTGTCAAAAATATTTCATAATTATTATTTGTTATTCCTTTGGTAATTTTAAAAGTTTTATAGGTATATAACATAATATGACAAATTATGTTATATACAACATTTACCAAAAAAATACGCACAAATAATATTTATGAAATATTTTTGACAGTTCTGACACTTCTCCACCAAACATGAAAGCCATCTAAATTTTAAATTATTAATAAAACTAACAATATCGCTACTAAACGGGCATTAAAAAAATTAATATATCTTTTAAAGGAATAAAAATAACAAAACAAGACTAACTGGACTGAAAAAATTAAGGTGGGGACTACATTTCCTGAAAGTTTCAGATTTTTATTTTTTCCTCAACATAATGATTTCTGAGGGCAAAATTGGCTAATTTTGAGAATTATCAATTTTCAATAATTTTTTTAATAAAGAAATTGATAGTCTAGAAACTTAAAATAATAGTTACGTTTTCTATTGTATAAGTACTTTATACCTGAAAAAAATGAACCTTCTAAATTCAGTAGAATAGGCACAGGAGTCAGACAAAAATCACAAAAATTGGCAAATTATCATGAATCATTAGTGGTTTACCATTCTTTTATGAGATTAACTAATTGGATAATAATAATTTATATCGAAAACACACTTACTGGACAGTAAAACAAAATTTAAATTATTTCAATATTTGTCACAGAAAAAAAGTTCTGGCCCACTATAAGAGAGTAAGAAATTGACACAATTTCAGACTTCTAAGGGGTGCCAAATAAAAGTAAAGCAACAAAAAATTAAAACGGCAACGGATTTTCATATTTGACA